CTGCTTAGCTAAACGAATTATGGGGGTTCAATTCCTGCTATTCCCTCATATAACCCTTGTCACTGCCACTCACAGGATGAGTTTATGGCATGCATAATTTATCATATATTTATAATGATAAATTATAAATATATGATAATTGGTGAAGTCACAGTGAGAGGTTGTGTTAACCGGAGCTCCTGAGTGTTGTTATAGCAATATGGAAGTTGTAGTGAAGGACCTGGTGACTCTAGTGGGAGCCCTGAGGACAGAGTTGGACTCTCTGCGGGAGGAGGTGCGTCAGCTTAAAAAACAACGAGAAGTAACGAAGGAGGAGACCAGCAGTAAAGGGACCTCGTCCTGGAGAGTTGCGAAAGACAGGGGCCTTAAGAAGACTTTGATAAAGCCGCCTTCAAACGCCATAGCAGCTTCAAATTCATTTGACGTTTTGGAGGACGAGTGCTGTGGAGAGACTGTGGATCGCGCAAAAGGGAAAGCAACGAAGAGAAAGGAAGCGCAGGCCCCTCAGAAAGTAAAGGAAGTACCTAAGCAAACATTAGTTGTGGGAGATTCCCAGATAAGGTATTTGGATAGAACGTTTTGTGCTAGAGATAGGGGGAACAGGTTAAGGGTTTGCTATCCCGGAGCTGGCATTGGTGATATTATAAACAACATGAATGATATTATGGCTGGTAATGGGAACAATCCCATTATTTGCATTAGCGTGGGAGGAAATGATGTTGGTCGAGTCAGGAGTGAGGAACTGATTCAGAGGTATAAAACAGCCATAGAGTTGGTTAGGAGCAAGGGAGGAGTCCCGATCATATGTGGCATTCTTCCAAGAAAGGGAGTGGGAAATGAATGGATATCGAGGGCACTTGGTGTCAATTGCCGGCTGGAAAGATATTGCAAATCAAATGCAATATCTTTCATAGACAACTGGGAACACTTCTATGGAAGAAATGAAATGTATGCTCGTGATGGGGTGCATCTATCGAGAGCTGGGGTTGTTGCTGTTGCGAACTCGCTAGAAGAAGTGGTTAGAGGTGTTTGTTTGGGTTTAAACTGTTAGTAGATAGAGGTATGGGAATTGATTTGGAGGAAGGAGGTAATAAAAGTATGTGTTTGTGGGAGAAAGGAATTGGCAAAACGATCAGGGAAAGAGAAGGTCCGCAAAATAACAATTCACTTAGGGTATATTACACTAACAGTAGAAGTCTAAGAAATAAAATTAACGAATTAAATGCTCTTGTCTGCACAGAAAAAATAGATATTATTGCACTTACCGAAACGTGGATGAATGTAGAAAATAGAGAACTATTAGCTGAATATCAAATATATGGATTTAAACTATTTCACACAGATAGATATATTAGACGAGGAGGTGGAGTAGCCATATATGTTAGGGACAATTTGAAATGTAGTCTCAAAGAGGGAATCAAAACAGAGCCACACACAGAAACTATTTGGATTGAATTAAACGAAAAAGCTAATAATATTATAATAGGAGTAATATATAGGCCACCAAATTTAGACAGAATGGAAGCAAAGCATCTATGGGATGAAATATCTAGAGCATCTAGATCTAACAGTATTTATGTCATGGGTGACTTTAATTTTAGCGGAATAAACTGGTTGAACAAAACAGGGAATAGTGAAGCAGAAGATTTTCTAGAATTAATTGACGATTGCTTTCTTACGCAACACATTAAGGAACCAACACGGGAAAATAATATTTTAGATTTAGTGTTAACTAACAGGGAAACGCAAATTAATGACATCGAAATAGGGAGTGAGCTAGGGAGCAGTGATCACAAAGAAATCAGATTTAGCATAGAATGGAATAGACCAGTAGGAGAAAATTCTGTTAAAGTGCCAGATTTTCGAAAAGCTGATTTTAATAGCCTAAGAAATTTTTTGGGTCAAATTGATTGGAATGGCTTGGGTATGGGGTGTGGGCCGGTCTTGGAGCGAGACATGAACCCAGCGATAGGTGACTTAAATGGGGATTTCGATGTGGATTCAATATATAACTTATTTAAGAATATTCTAAACAAAGCACAGGAACGTAGTATACCATACAAATTGAATAGATCGTATACTAATGACCCAAAGTGGATAACAAAGAATTTGAAGAACCTTATAGGTAAAAAGAGAGCTTGGTACAAAAGGATTAAAAATGGGGAGGTCACTTTAGAACAGGAATTCGTACAACTGGTTAGAAATGTTAAAAAAGAGATAAGGAAAGCAAAAAGAAACTATGAAGTTCGCATAGCAGGGCAAGCAAAGACAAATCCTAAAGGGTTTTTTCAGTTATATCGTACTAAGACTAGGGAAAGGATAGGTCCATTAAAAACTGAGACAGGTCAAATAACAGATAGTGATGAAGAGATGAGTAGTATTTTTAATAAATATTTTGTATCTGTATTTACTAAAGAGGAACTTAACAATATGCCTTCAGCCGAACAAGTCTATGTGGGTGGGGACGAGGACAGGTTGACGAGTTTAGCAGTTACCAGGGAGGATGTTCTTAAACAAATAGTAAAACTCAAACCAAACAAATCCCCAGGGCCGGATGAAGTGTTTGCTAGGGTGCTTAAAGAATGCAAAGAGGAGCTTTGTGACCCACTGTCAACCATATTTAATAAATCAATAGAGTCAGGCAGAGTGCCAGAGTTTTGGAAAGTTGCTAATGTGATACCAGTTTTTAAGAAAGGAGATAGATCACTTGCGTCTAACTATCGACCAATTAGCCTAACGTCTATTGTGGGAAAGTTACTCGAATCTATAATAGCAAATAAAATTCGTCTTCATCTTGAAAAACATAAATTAATAATTGAGTCGCAACATGGTTTTATAAATGGCCGTTCATGTTTAACAAATTTGTTATCTTTTTATTCTAGCATTGTTGAGGCAGTTGATAGTGGTAAGGATTGCGATGTTGTATACCTTGACTTTAGCAAAGCTTTTGATACAGTGCCACATGAAAGACTGATTAAAAAAATAGAGTCTCATGGTATTGGGGGTGCTATATTAAGCTGGATTAGGGCATGGCTATACCAAAGGAAACAGAGAGTTAGTATAAATGGAATCAAGTCAGAGTGGGAAAATGTTGTAAGTGGAGTGCCTCAAGGCTCTGTCCTGGGACCTCTGTTGTTTATAATATATATAAATGATTTAGATTCAGGTTTGAGTAGCAACATTTGCAAATTTGCCGATGATACGAAAATCGGTAGGGAAATTAATTCGGAGGAGGACTCACTATCACTTCAAGTTGATCTAGATAGGGTTTTGAAATGGTCTAAGGATTGGCAGATGCAGTTTAATGCTGATAAATGTAAAGTTCTGAGGTTAGGTAATGATGATAGAGTTACAAGATACGAGCTAGATGGTGTTGTGATTGCGAAGTCGGATTGCGAAAGGGATCTGGGAGTTATGATTAGTAAGAATTTAAAACAAAAGGATCAATGCATAAATGTTCGTAATAAGGCAAATCGGACACTTGGATTTATTAATCGCAGCGTTAGTAACAAGACACCTGGTGTGGTTCTCAAGCTATATCTTGCTCTAGTTAGGCCCCATTTAGATTATGCAGTTCAGTTTTGGTCGCCATATTATAGAATGGATATAAATTCACTTGAACGTGTCCAGCGTAGGATGACTAAGTTAATTCCCCAAATTAGAAATCTTTCATATGAAGAAAGATTAACAAAGCTTAAGTTGCATTCACTGGAAAGGCGAAGAGTTAGGGGTGACATGATAGAGGTTTACAAGTGGATGAATGGACATAACCGGGGGGATATTAATAGGGTATTAAAAGTATCAACACAGGACAGAACACGAAACAATGGATATAAATTGGATAAGTTTAGATTTAGGAAAGACTTGGGTAAATACTGGTTCAGTAACAGGGTTGTTGATTTGTGGAACCAATTGCCGCGTAACATTGTGGAGGTGGGGTCCCTCGATTGTTTCAAGCACGGGTTGGACAAGTATATGAGTGGGATTGGGTGGTTATAGAATAGGAGCTGCCTCGTATGGGCCAATAGGCCTTCTGCAGTTACCTTTGTTCTTATGTTCTTATGTTCTTATGTAATGTATTAACTATAGACTAAACCAGTAAACTGAATTAAAAAAAACGTTATATTTGTTCAATTAGACAAGATTAGCAAGTTGTTTACTCAACCAGTTGCTTACAAATGGTCGCGTTAATTGGCGTTAACTACATGATACTAGCTGGCCTAGTGAAATCTACACCTCACAAATATATTACGTCAGAGTTTGAGTCGTGGGCAGGGAGGGTCGACTGGGCACTAATCCCGCTCGTCTCTGATCACACAGCAGCAATTGGGTTGTAAACACATTACTGGGTACTGTTCAATGGAAAAAACTAATAGGGTAAGGCAAAATAAAATGCTGTTCAAGTATGTTTATTGAGACAAGAAATACATCTCAAAGGGATAGAGTAGCTTAGGCTATTTCTACCCTCTCTACTTTAAGTCCCTCAAAGGGCGCACAAGTTCAGTGAGTACAAATAAGAAATAACATTACAAGAATGCTGTTGTGTTGATTTTACTGGACTGCGCATTGTGAGATAGTGAATCTCACAATCCCCCATAGAATTCTCTCAGTGAAATTGAAATATGACTAATATTATATTGCATCGGCCATACTATTATATGACCGATGCATAGAAAACGTCAATATTAAGATGCTAACACGTCACATTTTCAACGGAATGGTCGATTCCGTATAAGAATTGCGACACATTACCAATCAAGCTGTCAATGTAATCAACCAGAGCTTTAATATACCAATGTGCTTTAATATACTTACTAATCTCTCTCATCTCATTTTTTTTCTTGCAATGTATCTGTTATTATTTTATTAATTCTGCTAAAATTTATACCTACTTAAAATTATCCGTTAGATTAAGGAGCTGCCCGAAACGCTGCGCGTACTAGTGGCTTTACAAGATTGTAAACACCATGCTATATATTCTCACAAACCTAATGTACCTTCTTGTATATAAATAAATAGATAAATAAATAAATTACGCGAGAGGCTAGCCAGACTGGCCGTGACCTCATGATGACGTGGCTCCGGGCGCGCTAGGTTCAGTGGCACTCACCTAGTACCTATAGTAGGTGGTACAGTTACCTTTCATGTCAACAAACTCGATTTACATTGGTTTACATCTCTACATCTTAATGTTTATTACAAGACAAGGCGCAGCTCGCCAGCTACTCAAATGACTGGCAGTCAACACTATAATTGAATGTTTCGGTGGTGTAGTGGAATTGTAAAACTGAGTTTCTCTGGTGTTTCAGAAATAAATAGAGGACAAGAGACGGTATGCGGACTCGTCGACCATTTTTTGGAGTCTTGCAATAATAAAAAAAAAAGTTAGCTTATTTATGAAAAAATCACAACCCCCCCCCAACCCCACAACTCCTTAACTTTATTGAGTGCTGGTTTGTAAGTTAAGTCTTCAGGTCACCTCACTCTTAGGGCGGCTCACTAACACATTTTATAACCTGTTAACCTAACCCATCATTCCCCCCCCTTATTTCATTTATTTATTATGCACCCCATCCCATGGGCGGTGGTGGAAAGGGTTACAGAAGCACCCCCAATGCAAATATTTGTTTGCTTTGAATTGAGCAAATTTAACATGCATTTTGTTTTGTTTTAATATTTAATTTCCATTTGTCTACATTTACTGCATTTATTATGAACAGATTTCAGATTCTTGGTCCTCTTTTGCTCGTTCTCGTTGTCTCTGCATCACTTGATTTAATAAAGTTTATTCTGTAACAGATGGGATAAATAACAGGAGAAATGGGACAAAAAATGTCAGAAGTTAATGGGTGTGACCAGCAAGAAGAAAATGGGGCCTCACATGTGACAGCCCATAGGAAAGTGACAGCAGTTATCATCGGTGCAGGTATGTACAGTGGGAGAAAATGACTTGCAATGTCACTGATGCAGTATTACAGTATTTTCCCCATTTAGGACTTATTATACTATATAGTGCTATCGGAACTCTCTTATCCATGGGATCTGCTCATGGGAGAAAACAATGAACCCAGAAGGATTTACTTAATTAAGAGCACCTAAGTGAAACACTAAAGATTTTTATATTCATTCAAAAGTATATACAGTAATTGTTAATATCAATATTTATTCAAATCGTAAGAGAACAGTATTATAAGTTGAAATTTTATTTTTATAAATTATATTCTAAAATATCAATACTTTCTCAAATTTAAATTGTGCACAGTGCTCAGAATCAAATGAGGATTCAACTACATTATTTGGCCATATAAAATTTTATTTGTCTACATTACAATCAAGATCCAACTACACAATTTTTTTTTAATAAAGACAGTCTAATGGGGAGTATTAATGGAAGTACAAATGTGAACATAATTGGAATTGCTGTTATTATTAGAATGCATTTGCTCATATAAGGAGCTGGGATTCCATACAGAAATTATGGTTATATAGGAACTGGCTTTATATGCACCAGTGACGTAATACAGCAACTTACTAAACTTTATAGCTCTTTAACCCATTAAATTTGTTCTCTATTATTTTGTACAAAATCTCACGAGATTTGTCTATATGTAATAAAGTCTATATAAGTTTATGTAAGACTTATCTATGTAAGTCTATATAAATGTCTATATGACATTTATGAATAACGGTTAAAAAAATCTAATAATTTCACACATATAACCACATTACTGTAAAAGGGGTCAAGGTCTCCCATTGTTGGGGATAGAAGTGTGTTTAGCTTATCAAGGTTTTCCCTAGGCCAACAACTGACCTCCCCCAGGATGCAACCCATAACAGCTGGTTAACTCCTAGGCCATTATGTACCAACAGGTAAACAGAGGGTTAGTATTGGGAGTAAGTAAATATGCACAAACTTCTTGTCATGACTGAAAGTTGAACCCGAGACACACAAGTAAATTATGTAATATCTAATCCAATGTCATCATTAAAAAAATAAAGGCTGGAGTTGGATTAGATATTACATGTTAATGTGGTAGGTCTCGAGTTCGATTTCTGGGCATGCCAAGACGTTCGTGTCTTGGTATTTTATATATTTTATGAGCGCCATTGTTCAGAAAACTTCACTGAAGGTGTTAATTAAACACAATAAATCTTACCCCTTTATTCCATTAGTTTTTTATACTGTATTTTTAAATCCTACTGTGTAATCATGTTTTTATTTTAAAAAATTTTGATACAATGATTGCATTAACAATGCTCTCTTAGTAAAATGATGTAACCGAGTTCTTATTTAGAAAAGCTATTACCATAACTCTATTTAGAAAAGTTATGAAATTCAGTCCTTTAATTCTCAGACTGGTTATACTGATTTGTACAGTTATTATAGATAAGACATCACAACAGCAATTCAGTACTAAAAAAACTGGCACCATACAATTCTTATTATTGTAACACACTGACAGTGTTTTGATGTCTCTAAAGAGAGTAATTTGTTTACATTCCTTACCTAATAAATTCATAACTTTAGAATTAGAAATTTTACAAAATACACAATTTAAAAAGTAACTTTTTAATATTAACCTTAAAAAATTCATATAATTGTACTCTTTAATAATTTATCTCTTACAGGTAATAGAGGAAAGAACTATGCCAGGTATGCTGAAGACTTTCCCCACTTGCTCGAAGTGGTTGCTGTGGCCGAGCCAAGGGTTCATGCTCGAGAGCGTATACAGAGAAAGCATGCCTTGTGCCAGGACCGGTAAGATAGGGTCTTTCAGCAGAGCTTCATTTCTACCTATAAATCAATTAGCTTTAGCTTTGATAAAGTAACACAATTTCTCGGTTGAAATATTTGTGACCAAATTGTAAATGCATTTCTAAACACTACTGTATATGTAAAATTTACAGTGGTCAAGCCCAGGTAGTCCTGGGCTTGATTCCCATTTACGATTAGACAACTGAGCATGTTCCTTTATGCCTGATGTCTCTATCCTCCTAGTAGTAAATAAGTACCTGATAATTAGGCAACTGTTGTGGGTTGCTTCCTAGGAAAGGTCAGTCATTGGCTTAAGGGGATGGCAATAATCTGAACAGGTATCCTGTCCCTGACAATGGAAAACCATGTAGTTTATAATTCGTTCTGTCAGGGGCAGGAAGCCAGTGTATACATTTACTTTAGGCTTGTATCGAGATCCCCTCAAGGTCAAATAACCGATCTTCCCCAGGATGCAACTACACAACAGGTGCTTAACACCCTAGTATCTATTTACTTTTAGGTAAACATGCATTAGGTGAAAGAAATCGTACTAAACCATTTCTGTCTACGCCTAGGAATTGATTCCCAATTGCCAATTGTGAGTCAAGAACAAAGCCAACTGTATTACAAGACACTATTGATGCTCTCTCTGGTTTATAGATGTTTTGAGAGCTGGGAACCTCTAGCTGAAAAACCAAAACTAGCCGACTGTGCAATCATTGCTACTCAAGATCAACTTCATCTTCAGCCTGCTATCGCATTTGCCAAGAATGGGTGAGATTAATACAGTATTTTCACAACAGTTTTCTTGTCAATCTGTATATACAATAAATCTCTCAGTCTACTTTATTAGTACACTATCACTTACTTTATTCACAGATAAACTGTTTGATGAATCAACACTTGCATAGAAAAGAGCATAATTTGCATGCATGATTGATTCATTGTACTGTAACCTATATAATAAGACGGTAAATTTATATTAATACTTAAATAATTTTTGAGTTATCAGGTGATTACCAACATAAACATTTGAGTTATTGTTTACCTTTTCTAATCATTTAGATATTGATAGCTTAAATATGTTAGGGGACATGTCACTCCACTTCTGAGGTAATATGATGCCTGTGAATAATTTTGTAGATAATACTGTACAGTGTAAGCATTGTCTTTATAGATAATGTATCGAATATGTTAACATAAATTTCAGTTTGCCATTCATTATTATTTTTCTGTTGGTTATAGGATAATGATTATGTTGCATATTCAGTGTGATAAATGCAAAAAGTTTTACCATTTTTAAAGTCAGTATGCTTGTCTTAACAACTAGTCCTTCAGTGTTCAAGGATTGTTTAGTGAAGGTTCAACTGCTGTATTACGGATATCATTCTTTACAGATGTGCATATATATTGGAAATGTGTCCACAAGTTTTTTCATAAGTTGTGGCTTATGAAGACATTTCCAATTAACAGCCTCCTGTAATATACAGTGTATCCGAGTCTTCTTTCTTTCGAAATGAATTATGATGTGTACTGTATTTATGGATATTATCTTTAAAATATCTAATGAGACTAATGCAAATGTGTCACTGATGTCTTATCTGTAATATCACTTCAGGTACCACATTCTACTGGAAAAACCAATGGCAGTGACCGAGGAGGATTGCCGTGCTATATATGAAGCATGCAGAGAGGCTCGTGTTATACTGGCAGTGTGCCATGTGCTAAGGTAGCTTCTTGTATTGCATACAGTACTAGTTAATGCCTATGGCCAGTATTTCATTAATTATCCATAAAATCCATAAATAACTTGCATTCGAGTTTTTGCCAGTTGATTAAGACAGACCACAAGTCTACTAAATTCATCGTAGGGATTTTGTCTTGGTCTAAAATCATGATATAATCTATAATTCTCATTGTCTGGGACAGGAAGCCTGTGCCTCTTACCTGAACATTTGGACTCTGGACGGTAGAGTGACAGTCTAAATTCCTTTAGGTCAGCGTTCAATCCCCGCTCATCCAAGTGGTTGGACACCACTCCTTTCCTCCATCCTATCCCTAATCCTTGTCCTTATTTCTCTTCCAGTTGCTAATCATTATGGCTTAGTGGTTTCTCCTGACATTCACCTTACCTAGGAAAAGGGGGGACCTTGATAAGATTTGGCCAACTACTGACCTCTCGCAGGATGCAACCCACAAAAATTAACTTTTGCGTCTCCTCAGGCAGGGAATTATACACCATCTCACTGTGAACAATCTAATAAAATCAACATATAGTTTTGTTAAAAATAAATCCTGCCCTACAAACTTGCTCACATTTTCGGAAACGGTAACCAGTTATTCAGGCAAAGGACTTCTGGTAGATGAAGTTTACATGGATTTTGCTAAAGCTTTTAACAAGGTACCACATGAAAGACTAGCAAGGAAATTACAGGCACATGGAATAAATGGTAGAATACTGTACTCGAGTAGATAAAAAAAGGGTTAAAACAAATAAAAGAAAGGGTAATCCTAAACAGAAGTGAATCTGACTGGAGAAATGTGATGAGTAGGGTGCTGCAAGGTTCCATTTTGGGGCCAACCCATTTTGTCATATACCTGTACATCAATGACATAGATGAGGATATCGCAAATCACACAAGATTTGCAAATGACTAATATTTGCAACCAACCATCCTGTTTAGATAGTACCTATTGTGACACTCGTCAATAGTCACGAATTCATACATACAGTACTTGGCTTTTAGATATTAGCACTTTCGCGGGGCGGCAACGCAGTCTGCGTCTATTGATGATGTAATCTTACGAATGTCCGCCGAGGATGCATTTTGTGTCCGAAATTAAAATATGTTAAAATTCCATTTATTGTTCGATTATTATGGGATTAGTTTTAAAAATACGCGCCTTTAAATTGCGAACAATTTGGTACCATTGACCGACATAGCTCGGAAATTGAGGTCAGAACACTGGAAAGAGTAAACACGTTAGTGTCGGTGGGCACTCCTGGGAACTGTCAGGCACAGTTAGGGGTGGGTTGGGGCGCGTCAATAGGTCATGTTTCTGAGCTATTTCATTCATTTGCTACCTACTACATGCACTACTAGACCTAGTGGGCAAGAACCATTTTGCTTAGTAGCCAGAAAGATTTTGTGCAGGTTATTTTAAAATATTTCTTTTCAAAATTAACAGCAGTCCAAAAATTAACAATTGGCAAATAATTAGCAAAATTATTAACAGCCTGGGGACTGATAACAGACCCCATAGGACAGTGGTAAAACACTCGCCTGGCGTTTCGTGGGCGATTTGGCCTGAGTTCGTATCCTGGTCAGGGAGGATTGATTAGGCTCCAATCCTTAGCTGTGCTGTTTACCCAGCAGTGAATGTGTACCTGGTTGTTAAACAATTTGGTGGGTCGTATTACAGGGAAAATTAAGATCAAGGACCTGCCCGAAATGCTATGCATGCTAGTGGCTTTAAAAGAACCCAAGAACTCTTGTATATACAGTACTGTATAATAAAAATATAAATTTAATAATGTTAACATTTTATTAAAGGCATGATTTATAGTATAAGCCTAGTTTTGCCCATGTTAGGCAGTATTTAAAAAATAGACATATTTAGGTTAGTTCAGGTTACTAATCTAGTTTTGGTTCAATTAAAAATGAATGCATTCTTTCTTTAAATTATTATTTTAACAAAATTCAATTTGTTCAGCAACTCTGGCAATGTGGTACAATAATATCTATGCATATATATTTTTTAATTCAGGTACCACCCTCCTTGTCAAAAGTTGAAGGAACTAATTGACTCTGGAGTGATTGGGGAAGTTGTCAACATCAACCACACAGAACCTGTTGGGTTTTGGCATTTTGCTCATTCTTTTGTGAGAGGTAAAGGCCTATGTTGGGTGTTTATTATTGTGTAACCATTTTTGTTGTTGTTGCTTTCATTGGTTTGAAATTTTAATATGTACTTTACTGTGCATTCACTCATCACCTTTCCTTGGTGTGTTGTATTTTGATCTGCCTTTTTAAGAAACATAACAATCTATGATTTAACATTTAATTTTCTTGGCTAATATTTTGATTTTTAGGACAAATTGATTGGTTAATGATCATGAGTATTGAATGCTTTGATCCCATTATTACATTGCAGGAAACTGGGGCAATACTAAGCGCAGCACCTTTTCACTTTTGGCCAAATGTTGTCATGATATTGACCTCATATCATTTTGGATGAGAAACAAGAAATGTGTGAAAGTTTCTTCATTTGGTTCCTTGCATCATTTTAGGTAAGTAAACAATGTGTTTAGAAAAAAGTGGCATTTGTCAGTTTTTATTGTTTACTAACATTAGACTACAGAAATGTTAATATAATACTGTATATATAATACTGAACTCGGATATGAATTTTATCTTTGCAGATATTTACTCTTTTAAAACTTGTTTGTTAAAACTCACAAAAAAGTAATAACCTCAAAATCTTTTGCATTATTAAAAAATTAATACATATTACCAGAAAAGAGAAAAAGCCAGAGGGTGCTGGTTCCCACTGTCTACAATGCCCAGTGGAAAAAACATGTGCCTTCTCAGCCAAGAAGATTTATCTTGATCCCGCACCTCTTAACCCCCGCTGGCCTATGAGTGTCGTGTGTGACATTGAGGATGCACCAGAGGGCTACTTGCAAAAATTAACAGAAGCTATTGAGGCTGGTAAGTTTACATGATGGGTCCTGCTATCTGCAAGGGGTGCTTTCCAAGTTAATTTCAGAACAATGTACTCCCAGATAAATAGACCGAGCAGACACATGGGCACCACTTTCATATTTTACAATGAGTTCTTTTTGTATATCAATCGTGGTTCTAATTTTCCTTTTGCTTGGCTCTTATCACTAAGTTTTACTCACTTTCTTAGGTGCCATGGTGACCTATTTACAGTAGAAATATAAAAAATATCCAAAAAAGCATGAGAAAATTTAGAGAAGTCTAGTGGTGTTGTGCACTGAGCAACAGCTACTAGGAAACCGACTGGTCTGCGACGCATTTTTATGTTTGAGTGCCGAACAAATGGTCGACTATCGAACATGAACACAGCGTTCAAGTGGCGAATTGTTCAAGTTGGGAGCTATTTGAGTACTAAGATTCCACCGTATTTTGTTACCCAGGCACCTTGTCCATTACATCCAAAACTAACTGGATTGTAATCCAGTTCATCGTGAGTGAAATACTAGTGTACAGTATGAGTTTCTTTAAACAGCTTCTCAGTTTAGTTGCTACCGAGACATGGATGAAACTGCCCCTGTTTGCATCCCATCCTCAAAGCAAATGGCCTATATCCATTATAGGCAAAATGGTACAGCAGGTAGCAGCAGCAGTCAAAAAAGCTAACCAAACCCTTGGAATAATCAAGCATACCTTTGACTCTAAGGAAAAGAAGGTAGTAATTTAATTGTATAAATCTCTGGTGTTTTTAGATTACTGTATCCAAGCATGGAGACCACATCTTCAGAGGGACATAGCTGCTCTGGAGAAAGTGCAACATTTGGCAACAAAAATCTTTCCAGAACTAAGTCATCTCTCATATCAGGAACGGTTGAATGCCACAGGGCTAACAACACTGCAAACCAGGCATGACAGAGTGAATCTCATTGAAACTTTTAAAATACTTAACAGTTTAGAGGATGTTGATCTGGAAAATTTCTTCAAAAGGTCAGTTGTAACACAAACAAGGAGCAACGATTTCAAGCTCAACAAGCCACAATGTAGAACTGAGAACAGGAGATGCTTTTTCACCCACAGGGTTATAACCCCATTGAACTGCCTACCCACCAAAGCCATAAATGCCAAAACTCTGTTAAATTTTAAAGTACAACTGGAAAAGATCAAGGCAAATGGGGAGACCTTTGACAAGCTGCCAGCCTCTTGTCCTCGTCGAGGCCATTAGTGTTAGTGGCCCTCAGGTAAATTCTGGTAAATATCCATTTCACATACAAAAATAGCAACAGATACATAAACTAATTAGAGTTAGATTATATTTTTGCCATATCTGTATTGTTCTGTAATGTACAGTATTTGGGATGGGTGTCTTTAACATGTGATCTCATGCTAGTATAGTACTGTACTGACCGTGTTGATACATTGTTTTAAACTTACAAATGCCAAAAACATCAATTCCATTTAAGCATACTTTATTCATGAACAGGAAGAACATTTATGTAAAGTGGCTCAGAGCTGGTGACATTCAGCACTTTTCTCAAAAATAGCTTCCCTCGCTACTAATGTTTAAAATGAGCTCCATAAAATGCTTCACGCTAATAAACTCTATGTCGCTAAGGGCTTAAAAAAAAGTGCATTATTTCAAAAGAAATCATAAGTATATTGAAGTGTAATTAAATGTAAGAGTATTCTGGAAAAATATTTTATTTTAAATTTAAATTTTAAGCATACAATAATTGTATAAAAAAAATATCTATAGTTTTTCTATGGATATTCTCTTATCATTTACCAACCAGGTAGGAGCTGTCATTTGATGTTAGTACAATAGTATAGTGGTTGTAGTAATTGTTTAGTTGCATGGTTTACTAGATATTTTAAATCTTTCCAGGTCCATATGGAAAATGTGTTTATGATACCGACAATGATGTCTGTGACAACCAGGTAAATATCAACATTGTGTGTTCCACTGATATGCACTCTTATTTTAAGCAATTCTAATATAATTACAGTACATGGATGCATATAACAAAAACATGTACAATATACATATTGCCCTAGTGAATGAAACGATACAGAATAAGAATCTTGAACACGAGGACCCCCCCCCAATGAAAGACGAGTGCTCTATCGACTGAGCTGTAAGCATGCCGAACGTCACGTGTTCGAGACTCCTATTGCTGTTGTGAATGTAATGTTACTATTCCGGTACTGTATTGTGTCGACAATTTATACTGTATCGTAATTACATCACAAATGCTGCATTTAGTTTAAAGCCTGACACCATTTCACTTACTACTATGTGCTTGATTTGATCATTCCTCTTAATTGATGTCTAAGGCATATACCCAAGTCAATGTAGCTCTGATATAACATACCCCCAAATAGTCAACTTAAACCATAATTTGAATTAGTCTTTCAGCTCTTTGCCTTTGTCAGTTATTTTTTATTTTATCAAGATTGACCATTTCTAAGTCATGAGTGTTCAAGGCATATGATTGCAGCACAAGTAATAATAATTTTATTTATAACAAATATACCTAAGAACATGTTACAGTGGTTAATTAGTGGGTACAGAAATTGTATATTATATAAAGACTAATTATGCCCAGCATTTTGGGAGAATAATGAATAGCTATATTTTTAAGTAAAGAAACAGTCATAATATTTCTTATGGAGTGTAAGGACATCTTTGGATGAGTGTAGATTTGGACTGTGAATTGTTTTTCATGAATTTATTAAAGAAATTCAGTAAAATATGTTGTTTCATGTTTATGAGAACTGTAGATGGCAGAACCGTATTATAGTACAGATCTGGTTGATTGTGGTATTTTGTTTTTAATAATGCAGATGCTGCTTTCAGGTTGTCAATTTTCAATTCAGTGATGGGGCAACGGCAACCCTTACAATGATAGCCTTCACCCAGCAATTATGTGCCAGAAAAACGGAAGTGTACGGTACTCGAGGCCAGTTAGTGTGGGACGAGTCAAAAGGTCACATAATCCAGCATTTTGACTTCCTATCCCAGCAATCAAAAATTCACAAGTGTGAGGAGGTAAGCATATAGTCGTACTGTTTACATACTGTTTACAGTGACACTAGCTTACATCTTTTAAGATTCATTACATAATTATTTTGTATGAAAAGATATATAAAATTTTGCATTCCTGATTAGCATTGATTTAAATATTTACAGGCATTTTTTTATTGTGTAATTAATAACATAATACAGTTCAGAATTGAAGTAAAAGAATATAAAACTATGTACATTACTGCACTCTGTTTTAAATTTTACTCAAGTCTTGGTTTTTAAATTTTTTCCCACATCTTGCCCGAAACACTGCATCTTAGTGGCTTTAGGCATAGTATAGTATGTACTAGCTCTATCTAGAAATCCGACAGTCTGTTGGCAAGTTTTTTTTTTTTAATTTTGAATATAAAAATTATTCTATTCTTATTATTATTATAAAAAAATTTCAGAGTTTTAAAGCCCCTCCTGGGTGGGGACATGGTGGTGCTGACTACTTCTTGATGAAAGCATTTGTAAAAGCGGTGGCAGAGAATGACCGAGACGGCATCTTATCAGGCAAGTATTTATTTGTCATTTGTGTGTAGGACGAGAACTACAGAATTACAGGACGAGAGTGTTCCGTCTTCCCAGTACTCTTTGTCGTATAACACTTTGAAACTACCGACGATTTTGGCCTCCACCACCTACTCAACATGTTCCAACCATCTACCACTCTGTTTGGAATAGAAAATGTTAAATTTTTTTGGCACCTCTGTTTCCTTAGCTTGAATCTGTCTCCCCTTGTTCGTGAAGTTATTTATTTATTTATATATTTACTATTTATAACTACAGTATGTAGAACAATAACAATCTCTGGCCCCAGACAGCACTCGGCCCCCTTACTTAAATCTTTGACTATTGTAGATATTAAGTCACTGCACATCTTCTCAAGTGTGATCTATATATTTAAAACTCTGAACTGTAATGCCAATCCAGACCTTAAATGCTTCCTAAAAGGTTGCAACAGAACCCATGGGCACCACACCAAAAACAAATGCCCATTTGATATTCCAAGAGTGTGATTTAACCAAACTAGAAATGCTCTGCAAATCAAGGGACTCAGAATGTGGAATGACCTTCCCAATCATGTCAAAGACTGCACCTCTCTCAACCAGTTTAAGAGAAAAACTAAATACAGTACTACCTAGTAAACTCCATGTAACCTACCTTACCTCCTAAATGTCAACCTATGTCTTGCTATTTTCTAGCAATACTGATTATTGACCAACTTGTTTAACTGCTGATATCTGCCATGCATAAACTTAAATAAACAAAAGACTAAAATTTTCTTACAAAGTAAAAGTAAGTAAAGTAAATTTTATTCAGGAAAGTACCTACATAGTTGATTTACAAACAAAATGTTGGATTTATAGATAGAGCTAGTACTGTACTGTATATACAATACCTAAAGCCACTAGTACGCATAGCGTTTCGGGCTAGGTGTGGGGAAAAAAAAAAATTACTTCTGCTATTGTGTTACAATTTCTGCTGTTCTATCCATCATGTAATTATTATCATTCTTTTTTCCCTTTTCCAAATTCAATTTATGCATTGATCTCAATTAGTTTTAAGTGTTAGTCCAAGTGTGGTTTCCCACATTTTGCCCGAAATGCTGTGCGTATTAGTGGTTCTAGGCATAGTATGTACTAGCTCTATCTGGAAATCCAGCATTTTGTTTGTAACTCGTCTTGTATGTACTTTTACCTGAATAAACATTTATTTATTATTTATTAATTAAGTTGCTGGTTTCAGGAATTCCTCTTTGTCAATTTGGTCTATTCCCGCTAGTATTTTGTAAGTGATGATCATATCACCTCTTTTTTTTCTTCCATCTTTTAGTTTTGGCATGTTTAACACCTCTAGTCCCTTCTCATAACTCTTGTTTTTTAGGCACGGAGGCCATTTTTAGCATACTGTTGCACCTTTTCCAATTTCTTTATGTGCTTCTTGAAATTTGGACACCATATAACTGCTGCATATTCCAATTTTGGTCTCACAAAAGTCATGAATAGTTTCTTTAGTATTTCAAGATCCATATACTGAACTGTATTTGCCAGCATATAAGATGCACTTTTTTATTTTTAAATGTATAAAAAATAGCCCTGCGTCTAATGCGGCCATATTACGGATGTGAGACTGAGCGTCATAGGCTAGGGAGCCGAACGAGCATACTACTGGGTAATTTCGCTAGGCACAAAAATCGTTGCTAATAATAAAATATTGAAAACAAGCCGAGTTATCACAGTCTGTTATCACAAACTTACAAAAAATTGCTTATGATACGTCGGCAGTTATGAAGGAATCTCACATCATCTCGCCACCTTACCTAGCATACATTACCCATACCTGATATGTCATACATTATTTAACGACTGTGTTACCTTTAAGAAACATTTATTCATTATCTAAATGAAAAATGCTCCTAGAAATTTTAAAGGAATGTTAAACTTTCATCCACCTGTCAGCCATTTGCAATGAGTAAATGACAACAAAACCAGAGCACTAAGATGGTGTGCCACCACCGAGTGTGCCGCCCTGGTGGCCTGATGCAGCAACATAATCATCACATCCAGAAATACAAGTTTCACATCCTGTATAGCAATTCTCTTGCCCAAAATATAAACAATTATAAAGCTGATCTTAGAGGTAAGAGTTGGGGGTACAAAATCCACTTTAAAATATCTTTCAATAAATGTATGATGAAACACACTAAAATAGTTTTTTTCCACAAAATATCTTTGTAAAATAGGGATGTATCCTATGTGAGGACATGTCATTTATGCCGGCAAATACGGTAATTAAAAGCAAGTCTGAAGTTGGAAAGTGACATATGGTCCTCTCTCAATGTTCTTAACCTCTGCACTGCTCTGCATTAAAATATGACACAACCGTGGTGCGCCGAAAATAAATTCTTTCCAAAAAATTAATTTACCTTCTTATATTGTTAAAATGCAGCCTCTGATCACAGGAAACTAAAAAAAATTATTGTACGTGACATAGTTTAGCTGCGATGGAGCTGGGAAGTTGAGCATATTATGGGCACTGAGCTATGGAGTGCTCAAGGTCACTAGGCCTCACCACCCTGTGGGGCGGCAGTTGCCGTGAATGTAATGTTTCACAATTATTTTGATGTTTCTCATTTGTTTCTTCTCTGGTTTTATGATGTAATATTGTTCAAAAGTGTGTAATTTGTGGAATTTATATAGTTCAATGTGTGGAACATCGCCAAGCTCAAAATTATGGGGGCTCATATGTGTGACATGTATATTATATCCTATGATCAATCGAACAGCGTTTTTGCTGTTATTACACTATATACACACACACATTGTATATACCTATCTACATGTGCTCACCATAGTGAACCACTAAGATCAAAGGTGAGCCAAAAAAACAAGAGTTTTTTATATACATTTTTCATACCACTAAGACAAATAACAATTTTGCGAGAAACAAAGAGACATTATATTTGTGAAAATGTTTGTGTTGTAGATGCTGTATATCTATATTTCAAGGTAGTTTGGAGTTATTGAGGAAAACAGCCAGCCTATTTGAGGTTTTCACAATAAAATCAAAATGCAAATGAGTACAAAGCTGAATTGCACTGTAAAGTACAGTATATTAAATTTTTTAGGGCCAAGCGTGTCACTGGAAACACATCTTCTGGCATTTGCAGCAGAACATTCAAGGTTGACAGGTGATGTTGTCAGGCCTTGTGAAGATCCTCGTTGGATGGTCTAGTACTTAAGAAGGGTAAGAGGAAAAAACAGCAGAACAAAGCAATGAAGGAGGAAAAATTTATAATGTTAAGAGAACACGGTACAGTTGAACCCCAGCTTTACATACGTATACGTTCTGACCTTAAAGGATTTGTTAAGAACTTTACATGAAAAGCAGAAACATGGCAGTTTCTTGCTTTAGTACTACAGTACTCATCAAAAGTATGTTTCAGTGCCGTCACCCCTCCCACACAACACAATGTATAAGGCAATTTATTGCAAATAATGCTTTATAATTACCTTTCAATACTTGGTTTGGTGGCCTATTCTCTTCTTTGTGGCTTGGAGATGTGAAAAAGCTAAGTTTCTTTGGTGTTCAGTAAGATAGTTTGCCCAAGACTGATGGATGGCCTTCTTGGTTGCAGCTGATGTCTTAACCCCTGCAGATCCTCCTTTACCATATGCCAGAGGTTCTCAATTAGGTTAAGATCTGAGCTGTTACCTGGCCAATCCCTTATGTAGAGTACCATGCAGTCATCAAGCCACTTGGTGTTAGATTTGAAGGTGTGAGTGGGAGCAGTATCCTGCTGAAACATGCTGGCACGTGCAAGCTTGAAAGAATCCAGCAAATATTCACAAAGTACCTCCAGGGAAACAGATTGATTTACTTTAATGTTTTTATTAAGTACAACAGGTTTGCTGAAACCCTTGTCTGAGAAAAACCCACATCATAAGAAAACCGAGTGGTTTGACGACTGCATGGTTTTGAGCTTCCTTTCAATAATCTTTCAACTTTTACTAGATAACAGCCTGGATCTCAACCCAACTGAGAACCCCTGGCACATGATAAAGGAGGATTTGCAGGGAATTGCTCTAAACCCAGCTCAAAATAGCCATCCATCAGTCCTGGGCAAACATCTCATCTGAACACATAAGAAACATTGCTCTTTCACTCGGTAATGTCTCCAAGCTATACAGTAGAGAAAAGGCCACTCAATCAAGTATTAAACAGTACAGTAATGTAATTATAGTACATTATTTACTATAAATTTCCTTATGTATTGTTTGTTGTGCAGAAGGGGTGGGAGCATGGCGGTGCATACTACTGACAAGTACTGCATATTGAAGACTTACAAAGACTGCTTAACAGATTCACCAGTCCTCAGGAACTGTGTACTGTTGTTACTGCGTCTTTACAATACTGTACAGCATTTAATTAATAAAATGGTGAAGCGGGAATACAAAACAATTACAGTATTACCTAAGGTTTGCATGTTGACCAAGGAAATTATTTTAATAATTATCAAATGCTGTATTTATTGAGAAGGCTTGGCGTGTACAGCTCATAACTATGTGAACTCGGGTTGCAACTGTACTGTACTGTACGCGGAAGTGTCGCCTGACTAATTGCTACAGTACTGTACTTGCTTTGAATATTTGCCAGGTGTTCTCGTGTTAAGAAAGAACTTGTTCATACTGGCTATTCCCATACCAGTACAGTATTGTAATTTTTGCTTTTTCCAAATATATACAGTGTAGTACTGTAATTACAGTATATTAGGTGTTCATTTGATTTGCGATTTGAAATAATATTCTTGCTTTATAGTACTTGCTAATCATGTAATACAGATATGCTAGGTAATGGTATTTAACATTTTTGTATTTACTATATATCATGTATACAGTACAGTTCATAAATTTAATTTCAGAACATTTTTTATCCAAGTCATGCTAATAGTCATGTAATGTCTATAATCATATATGGCATACTTAACAATTAGATATAGAGTACTGTAACTAGTTAAACTGAAAATTATGAGTTGTTATGCCTAAAGGAAACATTTCATAAAGCCTGTGCTGTGACATAAAGCCTACATTACTAATACTGAAAATCTGCATAATAACTTATTGTAAAATAATATATGTATGTACAGTATACATTGAACATTAATGATTCGTTGAACTTTAACCGAGGTTTCAGTGAAGAGTTGAAAGCTTCCAGATAATCTAAATTGTATATTGTGTCTTGTACAACCATACACTACTTCAAAAATATGCCTGAAGAGTGACATATTCTGAAAAATGTGACCTCAAATTTAAGAGGATGTGTGCTCCCTTAGCGTATGCGTCTACCCTCTCACAATCAGGAAGCCTGAGGAACAGACCATAACCACACTGAGAGACATTTTTTCCACTTGATAGTGTACAGCATATACACCAAGAAGTTTACTTCTGAGCTCCGTCTAGGACTAAAGTATACTTGCTGGTTGACCAGTAAGCTATTGTGGACCTTATAACCCCCCCCTCCAGAGGTTGATAAGGTCTTAAATCCAATGCCAAACCAAACCCTGTGGCTTATCAAGGTCACTCTAGCCAAAGGTAAGGCTGCATTTCCATCCAGTTAAAGGAGACACACACTGGTGCTTACCCTGACAGAGTGGCACTCACATCTGCAGCCTCATGAAAATGACACAACATACACGCAAACCTCCTGAATACATATTCAAATTTACATGCACTTTTGTATGCACTTTTAGGCTGAAATATTTTCATACCGAAAATGTACGCACTTTTAGTTCAAATTATACACTATTTGTGCACTGTACTTTAAATACTCTTTGATTACATATTCTTAAATGACTGTTGATGCTTAAATTACTGTAGTATAATCAATATGGTGCTTTGCCAAAGATTTATTCTTTATACCATCTTAAAAACAGCATATTTTGCAAATTCCTATGTATCTCACCTTATTTTGATTTTTATTGTTATAAAGCAGCAGCAGCTAAATGAACAAATCCACCAGGGCAGTGATGAGCAGCTAGTTTATTGTGCTCCCCATACTCATTCAGTGAGGGGTAGTGCAAAACAAACAACAGACACCACAAAATATCCTAATCAATCCCCCTGTGGATGTTGTTTGATCTTGCCTTTTACAACTGACCTGCAAACATTATGCTTATAATGATGCCTTTCACATTACCAGTTTCCTATGCTAATCAACTGTCCTGTGGCTCATTCTTTAGCACAACTAATATAATAATCATTCATGTCAGCGATTTATATATGTACCTGTTATTCCATGTGATATAATTATTGTGAATATATATTTGGCATAATTGACAAATTGTGACAATTAGCTTGCATACAAAATTCAAGCTAATATTTATTGCATCCCCCTCAAATCAATCTTGCCAGTAGTCAAAGAACCTCCTGGGCATTATCATGATTTAAAGCATGTGTGAAGCACCCCTTATCCTCTTTGATTAAGACATACTACTTATAAATAAATATAAATAAATAAATAAATGTTTATTTAGGTAAGGTACATACATACAAGAGATTTTACAAAGATTGATGGATTTATAGATAGAGCTAGTACATACAATGCAAAGCTAGTACACTTTGTCTTGTACGGTATTCCAACCTACAGATAAAATTTGAAACATAATAAAAGTTAATGCAAATAATAACATCTCAGACAGAGGTGCACCGACATCATCTCTGGGGAGGTTGTGTGTTTCTAAATCTTAACTAATGGGGACCAGTACTGAATAGAATTAATGACAAACTTTAATTAAGAGGGACAACACCAGTAAGGCATTTTCTGATGGTTGTCATATTACCCATTAATGCAGACTCTGGATTGCGTCTCACAGTCATACAAATTATACCCAAGACAATCGACTTGAGAATGGTCTAGGACGGACCAAAACGTCGTCGTCCCTTCATTTTCTAGTGTGTGGTCTGGTCAACATATTTCAGCCACATTATTGTGACTCATCATCTGCATCTGTATATCTAATACAATATAATGACTATTATCACTACAGTATATACTGTATAGCCCAACACCTTGCTCCCTCCCAGAAGTTCCCATTGGAGGGGGGGGGGGCAGCAACAGCAGAAAATTCTCCAGGAGGTTTTATGGCTACACAAACGTTTTGTAATATATTACTGCACCCCCATCCTATCATAATACAGTACAACAGTAGTGTTTCTGCCTGTACCATATGATGCCCCTTACAGGGTCCCCAGCGTATAACTGGGATGTCTTCCAAATTTTCCATTATAAGTTAGTTGGTTGGTACTTGGAACATGATTTTCCATAGGTGTAATATTATGAGAGGTTTCCAAAAACAAACAAAAATGGGCATAATTAATAAAATTTGAAATATAATTAATGTTCAATAAAAATTGATTTTATTTACCTCGAATGTTGGAGTTATCATGCTTCCTGGATCCGATAATTATTGGAAAGGAGTTGGGGGCGAGAGACAAGGCGAGAGAGAGAGACAGGGCGAGCGAGAGAGACAGAGCGAGAGAGAAAGACAGAGCGAGAGAAAGACAGAGTGAGCGAGAGAGAGAGAGAGAGAGAGAGCCAGAGATCTCTCTTAGATCTATCCTTAAATGGCTTAATTTATACACACACACTATAATATGTAATGCTCTAGTTCAGGTTTCTCAACCTATGGTACATATACCTCTAGGGGTATGTATAGCTCAAGGCACTTTGGGATACTTTCTACAAATAGGTCTTTCAAAAATTAAAATGTACCAATATTTTGAGAATTGTCACATACCCCTTCTTCCCTCTAAAGATTCCCCCCCCCTCACGTGTCTCTACAGGGGTACATGCACTTCTAAGGGTATGTATATTCCCACCTGGTTGAGAACCCCTACTCTAGTGTCTGTCCCTTTCTTATACAGTAATAATAATATTAATAGTAATAATAATAATATCATTACGTACAGGTAATGGTAATGTCATCTCCCAGACACAATAACATAGGATAAAAACCCACACACTTTTGTATTTGTGAAATTTATGTAAAGAATTTACACAATATCTTTTGCACTCTCCTGAGTGCTTTGTCAAGGTCTGAGTGTGTGATTAGGACCTTGTCCTAATCACACACTTTGACTTTGACAAAGCATGCGAAAGATTTTTTGTAAATTCTTTACATAAATTTCACAAATACAAAAGTGTGTGGATTTTTATCCTATGTTATTGTGTCTGTGAGACGACATTACCATTACCTGTATTTAATATTATTATTTTTATTATATTATTACACGTATTATTATTATTAGGTCCCAGGTGGGACAGAAATGGTTGGGCATTTTTCCTATCAACTAATGCCCCTATCCACCTTGCAGTAACTGGTATCAAAGAGTTGTGGGGCCAGCTTCTTGTGGGGTTGCATCCTGGAAAGGGTCAGTTATTTGACCCTGGGAAGTATACAGTACCTTCATATAAGCCTAACATACTGTATGTATAAATTGGCTGCCTGTCCCCAGATACAATGAATTATACTGTAATACAGTAATGATAATACAGCAATAATAATTAAAATACATTAATAATAATTATAATACAGCCATAATTATTATAATACAGCAATAATTATAATACAGAAAATTAGAGAAACTTACTATAATGCCATAGTGCTGGAATGAGAGTGAAGGAAACACCTATTATATGTGTAAGTGTATTAAAACAAATTTTGGGATACAACCTACATCTGTCATCAATGTGTTGTATACACAATGGTCTGACATTGCAGGCGATGAGTCACAATAACGTGGGTGAAGTATGTTGACCAGACCACACACTAGAAATTGAAGGGACGACGACGTTTCGGTCCGTCCTGGACCATTCTCAAGTCGATTGTGATGAGGAGGTAGGGACAGGCAATAAATAGGCAAGAGAGAGCTGAGGAGGAAAGTCAGGTGTAGGGGATAGTAGTAATGAGAACTGCAGCAGGCCTATTGGCCCATAGGAGGCAGCTCCTATTATAACCACCGAAGGAGATAGTAATAGGAAAAAGAAGAGGATAACAAGAGAGCGTAGAAGACAATGAACAGTCTGACATTGTATACAGAACCTTGAGAAAGGATGTAGAATACATCCTAAAATTTGGTTTTAATACACTTACAATATATTTTACACTTTTAATATATTGGGTCTTGTCTGCACCTTTACAGTAACAATTATTTTAACACAGTAATAATAGTTAATTTTTAAACCTTTAAAATACTCACCAATTTGGATATTGGTCCAGACAGTGTCTTCTAAAGGTCAGATGTAACACAAAGCTCAACAAGCCACAATGTAGGACAGAACACACAGACGACGCTTTTTCCATCCACACGGTTATATTCCCTTGGAAACGCCTACCCACCGAGGCCGAAAATGACAAACCAAAATCCAGCTCGACAAAATCATCAGGATAAATGGGAACAGGGAGGGGAGGGGGGGGGGGGACCTTTGACAAGTTGCCGGCTTCCTGCCCTCATTGCAACAACTTGTGAGATTACAGGTAAATTCAGGTCATTTGTAAAATATACAAGGATCAATAAAGAATACTGTATTACTCCCCCCCCCCCATTTCACATTATCAAAATAAGCTAGAGGGACTTGGTCCTTACCTGTACTGAGGCTGACTGGAAATGACCATCCGAGGGCGACTGATATTGATGACCACACTAATAAAAGTAGCATGACGATCTCATCAATTTACAACAACTGCCCGAGTATGACAAGAGGACGGCTTCTGGAGGACATCCATGCGAGGACAACCTTCCGAGGATGACCACCCGAGGATGACCTCCCTGGAATGACCACCCGGGGATGACCTTCCTGGGATGACCAACTGGGGATGACCACCTTGGGATGACCACCCGAGGACGACCTCCCTGGGATGACCACCCGAGGACGACCTCCCTGGAATGACCACCCGGGGATGACCTTCCTGGGATGACCAACTGGGGATGACCTTGGGATGACCACTTGAGGATGACCTCCCTGGGATGACTACCCGAGGATGACCTCCCTGGGATGACCACCCGAGGATGACCTCCCTGGGATGACCACCCGAGGATGACCTCCCTGGGATGACCACCCGAGGATGACCTCCCTGGGATGACCACCCGAGGATGACCTCCCTGGGATGACCACCCTGGGATGACCCCCCTGGGATGACCTCCCTAGGATGACCCCCCTGGGATGACCTCCCTGGGATGACCACCCGAGGATGACATCCCTGGGATGACCACCCGAGGATGACATCCCTGGGATGACCACCCGAGGATGACCTCCCTGGGATGACCACCCGAGGATGACCTCCCTGGGATGACCACCCGAGGATGACCTCCCTGGGATGACCACCCGAGGATGACCTCCCTGGGATGACCTCCCTGGGATGACCACCTGAGGATGACCTCCCTGGGATGACCACCCGAGGATGACCTCCCTGGGATGACCACCCGAGGATGACCTCCCTGGGATGACCACCCGAGGATGACCTCCCTGGGATGACCACCCGAGGATGACCTCCCTGGGATGACCACCCGAGGATGACCTCCCTGGGATGACCACCCGAGGATGACCTCCCTGGGATGACCACCCGAGGATGACCTCCCTGGGATGACCACCCGAGGATGACCTCTCTAGGATGACCACCCGAGGATGACCTCCCTGGGATGACCACCTGAGGATGACCTCCCTGGGATGACCACCTGAGGATGACCTCCCTGGGATGACCACCCGAGGATGACCTCCCTGGGATGCCCACCCAAGGATGACCCAAGATGACCTCCCTGGGATGACCACCTGAGGATGACCTCCCTTCAATGACCACCTGAGGATGACCTCTCTAGGATGACCACCTGAGGATGACCTCTCTAGGATGACCACCTGAGGATGACCTCTCTAGGATGACCACCTGAGAATGACCTCTCTAGGATGACCACCTGAGAATGACCTCTCTAGGATGACCACCTGAGGATGACCTCTCTAGGATGACCACCTGAGGATGACCTCTCTAGGATGACCACCTGAGGATGACCTCTCTAGGATGACCACCTGAGGATGACCTCTCTAGGATGACCACCTGAGGATGACCTCTCTAGGATGACCACCTGAGGATGACCTCTCTAGGATGACCACCTGAGGATGACCTCTCTAGGATGACCACCTGAGGATGACCTCTCTAGGATGACCACCTGAGGATGACCTCTCTAGGATGACCACCTGAGGATGACCTCTCTAGGATGACCACCTGAGGATGACCTCTCTAGGATGACCTCTCTAGGATGACCACCTGAGGATGACCTCCCTGGGATGACCACCTGAGAATGACCTCTCTGGGATGACCACCTGAGGATAACCTCTCTGGGATGACCACCTGAGAATGACCTCTCTGGGATGACCACCTGAGGATGACCTCTCTAGGATGACCACCTGAGGATGACCTCTCTAGGATGACCACCTGAGGATGACCTCCCTGGGATGATCACCTGAGAATGACCTCTCTGGGATGACCACCTGAGGATGACCTCTCTAGGATGACCACCTGAGAATTACCTCTCTAGGATGACCACCTGAGGATGACCTCTCTAGGATGACCACCTGAGGATGACCTCTCTAGGATGACCACCTGAGGATGACCTCTCTAGGATGATCACCTGAGGATGACCTCTCTAGGATGACCACCTGAGGATGACCTCTCTAGGATGACCACCTGAGGATGACCTCCCTGGGATGACCACCTGAGGATGACATCCATTGGATAGCCACCAAAAGATGACCACCCTAGGATGATCGCCTGAGGATGACCTCTCTAGGATGACCACATGAGGACGACTTCCTACGGATGACATCCCGAGGATGACATCCCGAGGACGACCTCCTGAGGACAACCTGTAGTCAATACTTCCCGCCACTGTGCTCGCCCACGTGTCCGAACGAACCCATTACACTTCCCCCTCCCAAAACAGAATTTACCACCATTTCCTAGCATCATAATCGATCATAACAAAAGAATAAATAAAAAATATACTAAATATCTAATATATATTAGAATATAAATTTTAGGGAGATAATTGCGACCTGAAATTGAAGTAGAAGTCGAGTGCGAGGGTTCCGGAGAGCGTGGCCGGGACAACATAAACACAGATAAGGACAACATGCTGTAGGGGAGCTTAGGGCAGCTCCTCCTTCACTCTCCCGCACCTCCAGACAGATATACTACATCCTTTTACATAAAAAGAAGCACCCATGTGAGTTTCCTGCTTGTATTTTATTGTATTATGCCCGAATACAACACGTAGCATAGCGTTTTCGGGCATAGCCGTTTGCCCGAAACGTTCTGCGTGTTAGTGGTCCATGCATGAATGTAAAAACGTCAGTGTTATGTACTCCCATAAACCCAATGTACCTTCTTGTATATATCAAAATAAATTAATAAATAAATATTGTGTCGGTGGGAAACACCCATGTGAGTTTACTGTCAGTATTATGTCACTGGGACAGTCATGTTTTTGTTGTTAAATTCAGCTTTGTGGAGCAAGCGGTGGGAAATGACCCAACATTGGTACCCTTTTTTTTTTCTCTTTGAGGATATAAGTCTATCTGGACAACTCTGCCCGACATAGTGTGAGTTAGTGGCTTGGCAAGAATGTAAGAACACCAGTGTTATGTACTCTCACAACTTCTATGTACCTTTTGTATATAAATCACTAAAATTATTGGTTGTTGCCAGGTTATGTGTGTCACCTAATTAGTTGTAATAGGATGTGTGTGATTTTTACAGGGAAAATGCATGACAAAATTCAAAGAGGAGATTGGGATGTTAGGATATAATTAATATATAGGATATAAGAACATAATACATAGCTTCTTTGGAGAATTGCAACATCGAGAAACAAAAATCATTCCAGAGCTCAGTCAACCCTTGGATCAGGAACGGTTGAGGGCCACAGGGCTAACAACAATGCAAACCAGGCATGACAGGGCAGATCTCACTAAAACTTAAAATACTGTACTGAACAATTTTGAGAATGTTGATCCAGACAGTTGCTTCAAAAGATCAGATGTAACACAAACAAGAAGTGGCAGTTTCAAGCTCAACAAGACCTTGCATGTGGGGTATAACAATCCACGTCACAACTACCAAATTAACAGCATTACCTTGCAGCAGATTGATGAAGAAAAGGACCTTGGAGTCAGATTTCATCATTCACGAAGTTGCACAACAAGTGGGAGCAGCAGTAAAAAAGGTAACCAAACCCTGGGAATAATCGAGCATGACTTTGACTTTAAGGAAACGAAGGCAGTCATTCACTTGTATAATTCTCTGGCTCCCCCTCACCTGGATCACTGCATCCAGACATGGAAACCTCATCTTCAGTAAGACATAGCTTCATTGGAGAAATTTCAACACCGAGCAACAAAAATAATTCCAGAACTATGTCAACTCTCATACCAGGACAGGTTGAGGGCCACAGGGCTATCAATACTTCAAATCAGACATAATATCTTCAGGTTATCTTGAGATGATTTCGGGGCTTAGCGTCCCCGAGGCCCGGTCCTCGACCAGTCCTCTTTTTAGTTACACACACCCAGGAAGCAGCCCTTAACAGCTGTCTAACTCCCAGGTACCTATTTACTGCTAGGTAAACTGAGGCATCAGGGTGAAAGAAACTCTGCTGCCTATTTGTTTCCGCCTCCACCGGGGATCAAATCCGGAACCTTAGGACTACGAATCCCAAGCACTGTCCTCTCAGCTGTCAGGCCTCCTCTGATAGGGCTGATCTCATTAAAACTTTCAAAATACAGTACTGTACTGAACCATTTGGAGGATGTTGACCCAGACAACTTCTTCAAAAGGTCAGATGTAACGCAGACAAGGAGTAATGGTTTCAAGCTCGACAAGCCACAGTGTAGGACTAAAAAAAAAAGACACTTTTTTCATCCATGGAACTGCCTACCCACTGGAGCCATAAATGCCAAAACTCTGCTGAACTTTAAAATCCAACTTGATAAAATCATCAGGACAAATGAGGGGACCTTTAACAACCCGCCGGCTCCTGTCCTCATAGAAGCCACTAAAATACTAGTGGCCCTCGGGTAAATTCAGGTACTGTACTGTAATATATTTTTTAAATGTTAAGGGTGAGCTTGTTAGCAGTTAGCTACAACTATACTTTTTTTTTTTTAGTTCAGTATTCATGGTGCAATTTAGAATATGTGGGTTAGCATTAGAGAAAATGGAGGTTGTGTCATCTGCAAATAGAATTGGCTAAAGATGTTGAGTGACATTTGGTAAGTCATTGATATAAAGGAGAAAGAGGAGTGGAGCAAGTTTACTACCTTGAAGAACACCAATGTTAATTAGCAGTGTGGGAGAAGTAGCATTATTCACAGAAACATATTGGTGCCTGCCGCTGAGGTAAGTACTGTATTTGCAATTGAAGTTAGCAACCCCTGACTCCATAGTGTTGCAGTTTGTGGTATAGGAGTTCTACCCCCCAAAAAACTATAGAACACCAGAGCGTATGCGGGTAATGTGTGAAAATGCTGATTTGGTATCAGTTGGTGTCTCAACCCCTAGAGGATTCAGTTGAATCCCAGGTTACATTACTTTTGAACATATCATGGTTCAGTGATTTAATGTGTACCCAGTGTGCAGATTCAAATCCTCCTCATGGCTCCTACTGATTTTCTCAGTATGTAATTTGTTGGGGATAGATACAGAGACTCTGGACAGCTGCCTGTGAGTTAGTTCTTTACATTGGTTTGGAATGCTGGGAACTCATTTGCAAGGGATGTGCCAATGGATGAGCAGAAACTATTAAATATACTAACAGTGCCAGGGACTGAGCATTCCATCATCATTAGCTAGGAATCTTGGGTTTTATTAGAGCACTTCTTTGATTATAGTGTCTGGGAAATAGTGTTCTCATATTCATATGTATTATTTATTGATTTAAGTATTCTTCTTTTATTCAGCCGTTGGTTATTTATCCTTTTTGGTTGTGACTTGTTTAGTTAGTATGGAACAGTGAGTATTACAGAGAATATGAGTTTTGTGAAGACCTGCTAGACCTGACTCCTACCAATACTAAAGTACTATTTCAGATGAATATTAAATTAAAATTTGCTTAAAATTCATTAGGTTTTGTTATATAACTAGTCAGACAGGCATTGCTTTATTATGTAATTTGTATATGCCATTCGAGACAAACTTGATTAGTGTGTTTATTATATTTCCCATTTAAATACAATTATTTTTGTTAAATTTTCACACTTGTCACTTTCAGTTAAGGCTAGAGTCAAAAGAGTTTAAGAAATATATCTCCCTTGCCAGAAATGTAAATATAACAGTATGAAATGTTTTAAATTTCAGCTTTTCCTAAATACTGTACCATATTCCAACAATAAACTGTTGCCCCTTAAACTGAACTTTATCGAGTTCGGTTCCATATACCCAATAGGCGAGTGGCAGGTGGGAGATGCATCCTTATGTCTGGAAGTTCTTAGTTGTCCTACTGAAGATTGCATGGAGGTTATCTTGAGATTATTTTGGAGCTTTAGTGTCCCCGCGGCCCGGTCCTCGACCAGGCCTCCACCCGCAGGAAGCAGCCCGTGGCAGCTGACTAACACCCAGGTACCTATTTTACTGCTAGGTAACAGGGGCATAGGATGAAAGAAACTCTGCCCATTGTTTCTCGCCGGCACCCGGGATCGAACCTGGGACCACAGGATCACAAGTCCAGTGTGTTGTCCGCTCGGCCGACCGGCTCCAGGAGATTAAATATCAGACAGTATTTTATAGGCCTAAGTGCCTGATTAATTAAACTATAATTTTTAGCAAAAATTAGCTCTAAAAATGTTTTGCTCTTTACTAAACAAATCATTTTCAGAGACCATGCGCTACTACTTCATTCTGGCCAACCAGAATAAATCAGTCCCTGTGGCGCAGTGGTAAAACACTTGCCCGGCGCTTCACAAGCGATTTGGCCTGGGTTCGTATACTGGCCGGGGAGGATTGACTGGGCACCAATTATTAACTGTAGCCTCTGTTCACCCAGCAGTGTTGTTAAACGATTTGGTAGGTCGTATTCTGAGGAAAATTAGAATTAAGGACCTGCCTGAAACGCTTTGCGTTCTAGTGGCTTTACAAAAATGTAAGAACTCTTGTACAGTATTTAAAAAAAAAAAAATTGTGTTGAGATCTACTGTACATCCATCTATACATAAGGTGTTTACCATCACTAAGATCAGTAATATATAAGCTATATATGTAGGCTATGTCCTGATCCACTGAAATTGATACATTCAGTAAGGGTTGACCCTTTGCATCACATCACTAAAACAATGGACAGAGAACACATTTATGCTGTACAGTACTGGCATTTCTGTGTCCCGCTGATCACTCGGTGGTGTGTTTTGTGGCACAGCTATAAACACTACTATGCCCTAATTGTGCTTAATCCTTTATTCAGTTTTATAATTATTTAGATTATTTAGGTTTAATTATAATATGCATAGATCACAGTACAGTAGTCACTTTCAGAGTTCTGGGATAAAGTTTATCTATGTATATTCAGCCTACCTGCTTGACTGATAATGTATCTTTATTTTGTTGCAGAAAAGTATTGTGCTCAACACCTGACATAAAATGGATGTAAGTTATCTAATATACTGTTCTTGGCATTTTTGTTTCAAACATATATTTACAGTACTGTATTGGCTCTTATTATATATATATACTGTACACAGTTAACCTCTTTAAGGACTAAGTTCAGAAACGTTGTTATTCCAGGACTTTTCTTTTTTTTTAAAAGTTGATTTTTTGTAGGATTATAATTTTTTATTAGGAAAATACACACACAATCATAATACTGTACCTTCAGTATTTGAAAGCCATATTTTATGCCAATACCTTGATTGAAGAGTGGTACAGTGGGATACCCCTCACATTTGTTTCCGACTCCTCGTGATGCACAACATTATTTCTTGTTTGTACATTACAAATCATATATTTAATGATTATGATTTTTTTTATTTTAATTACAACACATTTCAACATACGTGGCAATCATGTACTTCCAGTGTATAGCTTTATTTAAGAGCACTAGGATAATTGGTCTGCCAGCTCGTGGCTGACCCTTCATTTTTTCAGAGCTCTACACATGGTGGCTAGATGTACGAGGAATTCTTTGGACACTTATAGGATGTAATTCTGGTAAAAATTAAGACAGGAAACCTGTGGTCTTCAATAAACAGTCATTGTCAACAAAACATTTAACAATTTATATTGTATACACAGCCAAAGTCAACAAAAGATTGAAGTAACTTTTTATGGCAATCTAAATATAAATTTCACAAACAAATACAGTATTGATAATATTTCTTTGCATGTAAAAAGTGACAACACCACCTGTAACATGCCTTTTGGTGTACCTAAATGCACAACACGACAAAACTTGCCAATGAGCATACATGTTTCGCTTAGAGTTATGTTTTGATAGTCATGTCAACCCTTTTAGCATCAAGCTCCTTGTAGTAGTTACAGTACAGTGTTAAAAGCTTATGCAAAAAATATTAACATGGGCTGCAGTTTGTGGGTAGTAAACACTTACTTGCAGATCTTTACTGGATATCTGAGGGTGTAAAAAATATATTCTTAATTAGTCAGTGCATTTTTTAATTAAATTTTATAAAAGTTGATGTGACATGATATTTTTCCAAGTAACAAGCAAATTTTTTAATCTTAATGTTTAGGAACGTGTTTGAAAAGAGTTAATGCAGTATGAGCTGAACATTGATAAAATGTACATACTCTTATAAAAGCACAAGTTTGCTGTGTCAGATGAGAGAAGAGCTGCTGTGGGTGTCACAAAGAGGCATGTGAAAAGTTAAATATCATTAAGATGTGGACAAATTGCAGACGTTGCTGAGAAGTTATTGAAAGAGGTACCATTCTAAGAAAAGTGTTTATTACAAATAACATTTAGCCTGGTGAATAGCTTCTTCACGGAACCAAACCTTGGCTGAAATATGGGCTAGTCTTGGACTGGTCTTACCCCGCAGCCCATCCCGACACCAAGCTTCTCTGATAATAACTTGAGTAATAACCCTGCTGTTCCTTTCATATACAGATATATTTAGAGAAAAATCATAGTTATTGTATTAAATTTTGTATTAAATTATTTTCAGTAATTTATTTCTGGTTAAGAATGAGGAATGTTTGTGTTATTTAGTGAATAGAGCAAGGAATGAAATGTTATGGAAGTACAGTGGAACCTCAGGTGATAAGCAGCCCCATCTACGAGCATTTCAGGTAACGAGCGAGCCACTCGTGGACAATTTGTCTCGATTGACGAGCTTCCGCTCGGTTAACAAGAACACCAAGTGGTGCGGTTCTCGTAAATTCTCGGACAAATTCGATTGTACTTTTAAAGTACAATTGAAACAGTAAAGCAAAACATTTATAATAATTACATGTACAGTATTATAATTACATCATAAAATGTCATATTGATGTTTTTCAGGGGTGGAATGGATTAACTTTATTTCCATTATTTTAAATGAGGAAATTTGTTTCGCAAGACGAGTGTTTCACATGACGAGCTAGGTGCCGGAACGGATTAAATTTGTTAACCGAGGCTCCACTGTAGTTTGTATGAAGGGAGTGGATGTATTTGTTTATAATTTGTTTGTACAGTTTTGAGTATGGTAATTCATGAGGAGCATTGATCACCTAATCTTAAGAAGTAGTGGGATGCTTCTGTGGACAACTGCCGGAGTATTGTTATGCTTGTGTACCCGTGATGGCTATATACCAGGATTAACATAATGATTGAACAGGCATTTTTTCTTTTCTGAAAAATATCAACAACAATCGACTTGAGAATGGTCCAGGACGGATCGAAACGTCGTCGTCCCTTCACCTTCTAGTGTGTGGTCTGTTCAACAAATATCAACAACCATTCACTCTATAATATACATTTTTACTGTGTTTCTTTCTTTCTTTCCATTTCATGAAAGTGAGAAATGGGGCAATGATTATGAATGAATGTATTGTACAATTGCAGATTAAATGCCTTGGAAATCCAAAGAAGAGATACACAACCTGCAAGTTTTGGACACGTAACAAATGCAAAAACCACCCAGAGTTTTGTAAATATGTCCACAGCTATGTTTGCCCAGAGAGAGATCAGTGCGAGAGGTTTGATTGTACCCTTCTCCATGTTAACCAAGCTCACAAGAAATTGTTGCATCAGAAGGTAGGCTCCACACATAATATAACAACCACTGCTTATATAATATATATTGTCATTCTTTTAAAGCAGTTATTTGCAACATGTTGCCCTAATTCCAGAAACTTAATTTTAAGAAATCTGATTGGGGTAAAGTCATCGGTCCTCACCCCCCTTTCTTTTGCTTGTACAGTACGATACTAGCATCCCTCAATTATTTGTCAGGTTGTGTGCCTGGAAAACTGGCCAAAAATCACAAATAATTTTTCAATAAAGACAACCACAAAACTAGCAGGGTTGTAATGTTTCTAATTGTGCAGGGCTCCTTGCTGTTGTCTGTTCAAGTGTGCTCTACATTTTTGGTGGCTTTTTCCTCTTGGGTTGGGTGATCTAAGTATTTCCTTCTCCCTGCACCTCTTTGAGTGAACCAGGCTTGGGGTCTCTGGTCTGCAGTTGGGTTTCTGACACTTACAAGGGTGTCGTGTGGCATGATATTGCTAACACCATGGAGCCACTGAGAGGCCCACCAGAAAAACTTTCAACGCTAGAGTTTTCTGGGAATGGCTGAGGACTGCTGACTTTGCCCTTCTGGGATGACTTAATAAATATAAAAGCAAGCACAAATTTCTAGGCTTTAACACAACAAACTCTTAGTCAGGCAAAGTTGGCATTTATGAATTCACATAATTTCCAAAAAGTCTATTAAATAAACTTTGTGTTTCATGCTGTAATATTTGTTTTAACATTAAAACTTTAGTGTTCTGATGACACTAAAATTCTTTATCCATACTCTGACAGCAAACATTTAGATGACATTAAAAAGCTAAGGATGCTAATTCATGAATTCATCACCAGCACGCATAATCTGTTATAAAAACACTTTTTGTATTACATCTGTACTCTAGTAAATTCATTACCAAACATTTTGACTCCAAATTTGTAATTATAACTAATTGAGACCACATAAAACTAGTGCAGTATAGACACTTTTAGGCATCTCTGAGTGGGACCCCGAGATGCCCACAACGTTTACTGTAGAGAAAACGCCGATGGATCAGAATGTTAAGGTGTTAAGCACTGTATTATGCAACTGTGTGTACAAAATTTAAACCGACAAATTTTTGTTCATATAATTAATATACAGTATTTTGTTCGTGTTACGAATAAATGATCCTTGCATACATGGCTTTTGCAAGGGGTGCAAGAATATAACTGAAAATATAATGATTTCTTGAAGATATAATATGTTTCATTCCTTAAATGAGTACTGTATATGCATTTTAAACATGAATGCTCTACACACCTGCAAGCTTGCACATGCATGCACATACATGCACATATATATATGCCAGGCTTAGGATGCTGATACTGTTCATACTGCCAGCACAAAAGTAAGATGTATCATGAACAAAGAGCAAAGGTTTCAAGCTCAACAAGCCATAATGTGGCAAAGAAAACAGGAAACTTTTTCATCCATAGAATTATAAACCCATAGAATAGAGTAGTATCACCAGTATAATACCGGTAGAATATTATACCACCGGTATCACCGGTAGAATACCGGTATCATGATGATACCCGCCGAAGCTGTCCATGCCAAAACACCGCTGAATTTCAAAATCCAGCTCGACAAAGTCGTCAGAACGAATGGGAAGGACCTTTGACAAGATACCGACTTCTTGTCCTTGTCGAGGCCACTAGAGTGATAGTGGCCTTCAGGTAAATTCCTATAACTACAGTAGGATTCCGATACTACGAGGGGAATAGGGTCACCTACTCTGCAGCTTTATGTACGGTATAATCACACTAATTTTCTTCAGTGGTTTCCTTCAACAATCTAGGAAATGACTCCTTGCAGTCCTATTATAATCTTTGTTGGTTGCAATTTAACCTTGTCTGCCTGATCACCACCTCAAGTCCAATTTTTAACAAATTTTTTAACAAATGGTCTATCAAATTCTACTCGAGTTTCTGTTCACTTGTATTCACAACTGCAAATACTGTTACTGTATTTTGAATGTTATCTTTTCTCTTTAATAAATTCTCTATTTCCTCCATTAACTTGGTACAGTACTATTTTCTACCTGACAGCTGAGTGAACAGCACTCGAGATTCGTAGTCCTAAGGTTCCGGGTTTGATCCCCCGGCAGAAACAAATGGGGAGCGTTTCTTTCACCCTGATGCATCTGTTCACCTAGCAGTAAATAGGTACCTGGGCATTACAGCTGCTATGAGCTGCTTCCTGGGGATGTGTAACAAAATGGAGGCCCTGGTCGAGGACTGGGCCGCGGGGACGATAAGCCCCGAAATCATCTCGAGATAATCTCAAGATAACCATTACCTTGACTACTTCTTTTTAGTAACTTGCTTTATTAGTAAGATCAATCATCAGGATCTTATGTTATAATTTTACATGCAGTTCTTTGATTCACAGTTGTGGGATCAGGTACTCATAGTTATAGATTTCTGGTGTTAAATTATTTATTCTCTCTTCTTGGTTCTTGTTATTCATTTAAAGTTTCTCCTTTTCTCCAAAGTAAATTTTAGAGTTGATGATGAAATCATGATGATCTCCACCACCTTCCATTTTGTCTGTAAACAAAGCCATATTATCCACTACTGCCATTGTTGGACTACCTTGGCATCCAGAGCACTGGTTTATAGAATTTAAAGGGCCTTAAGCAGACTAATAGTATTTGGATTATTAGCACTTGCCACTATTATTTCTGAACTTGTCTCGAGTCCCTTTATGAGGGGCATAGATTGAATTTTCTACAATAGGACTCAGTTTCTCATTGTATCTTTAGGGGTTGATCAATTACTGTATTGAACATCAAACAGTAAAAATAGTTGCGTGGCACTTGTTTAGCTGATTCGTTTAATGGTCTATTGTAATTTATTCGTTACCAGCTTTAAAGCTGCATTATCATTAGTTGTGTCATGAGCTCACTTGCATTTCTTTATGCACTGTTTGTACTTTAAATTCATTTATTTTAAAATCAGTGTCTATGATAGGCAAAATGTACATTTGTGTTGATGCCCTTTAATAATGATTTAATTGTGTAATTAAGATTATCCAATTATTTAAGTGTATATATACTGTAGTAAAAATTGGTTTTATTGCATGGCAAATTTTGACTTCATAGGAGCAAATGGGTTTGGAATCCTACTGAAGAGGAGAGTACAGAAACACACACATACCCGTAGATTAACTGCAATTGTGTCATTAATTTCAGTAACATGATTCATACTCTTAGACAGTAACTCAACACGCAGTGTCAAAGAAACCAACAGCTGTGCACAGGGGGAAGGACCGCAGGACAAGTTTGCCAGAAGCGAGCACGACTTCCGTCTTTAAGTGGTCATCCATTTCACCAAACTGGCGCTTCAAAAATTCTGCTGTTAAGGACAATTTTGCATCAGAGGCCAATTCTTCTCCATTTGATTGTTTTGATGAAGAATTATGTAAAGGGCTGGAAGAAGTTGGGCAGGAGTTAGATCGCTTTACAGAGGAGGCGTCAGAAAGCAGCCACTGTGACAATGAAGTGATATGCTTGACAGAAGTGAATAGTCATTATTCTGAACATTCTTCTCCAAGCACTGCGCATTGTAACAAAAATGTGGTCAAGAGGAAGACAGTTTCTGAAGCTCCTTGTGAATTGAAAAGGTGAGTTGTGATTGTGTAATTTTAGCATAGAGATGTAACAACTGCACAAAAATCCTGCATCCCCCTGTATTTTAAGAGGAGATTGGACCTTGCACTAGACCTAATCATCTTCCTACCTAATCAAAGTGAGAAATTGGATAATGATTATGACTTGCACTTCCTCTGTACATATTTGTTATTTTATTTGCTTTTTAATTGCATTAATTGATGATGTATTTTATTTATGCACTAGATTTATGCATTTTTTATGTTTCATTATTTTCACTGATATTCTTTTCAGAAATCCTCCCGAAGTAGCAAGCGAGATTGAAATATTGTATCACACAAAAGAACTTGTTCACACGAAAAAAAATGCAGTTAAAAAGAAAGTTAAGAAAGATTTTCAGGGCATAATGGGTTTGAAATCTCAGACCAAATCTTTGCAAATAATAAAGCCTCATCAGAGGGATGTCCTTAAGTTGGAGGAGGAAAATAAACAAGATAAACAAGATAATGCCACTAGCCGTACCATATTGAAGAAACCACTTCTGGTTTCTGATTCACAAGTCCAGGATGCTCCTTCCACCAGTCTAGGATCTCCACCTACTGTGGCTTTGAAGGCTGCACCTGCACTCAGGTCTTTACCTCTCACAAACACTAACCCTAAACAAAGAAATTTCTTAGTACACTCTAGTAGTTCGCATACTTCAAGAATTAATTCGGCTGATAAAAGTTTACTTAATGTAAGCAGCAGAATTATGGATGGAACAGTTTCTCAGACATCAGCAGTGAATGAAACAGTTTCTCAGACACCAGCAGTGAATGGAACAGTTTCTCAGACACCAGCAGTGAATGAAACAGTTTCTCAGACATCACCAGTGAATGGAACAATTTCTCAGACACCAGCAGTGAATGGAACAGTTTTTCAGACACCAACAGTGAATGGAACAGTTTCTCTGACACCAGCAGTGAATGGAACAGTTTCTCAGACACCAGCAGTGACTGTAACAGTTTCTCTGACACCAGCAGTGAATGGAACAGTTTCTCAGACATCGGCAGTGAATGAAACAGTTTCTCAGACACCAGCAGTGAATGAAACAGTTTCTCAGACACCAACAGTGAATGGAACAGTTTCTCAGACATCGGCAGTGAATGAAACAGTTTCTCAGACACCAGCAGTGAATGAAACAGTTTCTCAGACACCAACAGTGAATGGAACAGTTTCTCAGACATCACCAGTGAATGGAACAGTTTCTCAGACATCACCAGTGAATGAAACAGTTTCTCAGACACCAGTAGTGAATGAAACAGTTTCTCAGACATCACCAGTGAATGGAACAGTTTCTCAGACATCACCAGTGAATGGAACAGTTTCTCAGACATCAACAGTGAATGGAACAGTTTCTCAGACATCACCAGTGAATGAAACAGTTTCTCAGACACCAACAGTGAATGGAACAGTTTCTCAGACATCACCAGTGAATGAAACCGTTTCTCAGACACCAGTAGTGAATGAAACAGTTTCTCAGACAACACCAGTGAATGGAACAGTTTCTCAGACATCAGCAGTGAATGAAACAGTTTCTCAGACATCAGCAGCGAATGAAACAGTTTCTCAGACAGCAGTGATTGGAACAGTTTCTCAGACAGCAGTGATTGGAACAGTTTCTTATGCACCTACAGTAAATGGAACAGTTTCTGATACACCTATAGTGAATGGGACAGTTTCTCATACATCAGCAGTGAATGGAATAGTTTCTTATCCATCAGCAGTGAATGAAACAGTTCCTCAAACACCTGTAGTGAATGGAACAGTTTCTCATCCATTGGCAGTGAATGGAATAGTTTCTCATACACCTGGAGTTAATGGAACAGTTTCTCATCCATCAGCAGTGAATGAAACAGTTTCTCAGACAGCAGTGAATGGAACAGTTTCTTATGCACCTACAGTAAATGGAACAGTTTCTGATACATCTATAGTGAATGGAACAGTTTCTTGCCAATCAGCAGTTGATACAAAAGAAGCTGGAGACTCGGGATACAAAACTAACTTGTCAACCAAGAAGTCTAAAATTATTAATGAACCTGACAAAGCACTTCAAGAACTGAAATACAGTAATACGAATATCAAATTACCCACTGGAAATTCTAGTAGTGACTGCCCGAGCCATGATAGCAGCTTTGTGTCCAAAGACCAGTGGCCTGTGAGCTCGTCTAAATCTTCGCAGCCAATAAATCAGTCTGAAAACTCCATTCCTGGTGGTGGAGACGAGGGTGGTGATAAAGTATGTGAATTGAAGGCACTGTTATCACAGAAGAAACTCTTGGTGAACAAGATAAAGAGCTTGGTTAAAGAAAAGAAGAATCTCTGTTTGCAGAGAGATAATGTTATGAACAATTTTTCAGGTGACACTACTAAACTTTCTCAGTATTTTGAGGAAAATTCTCAGGTTACCAAAAAAGTATCTGCTCAGATTCTCATATTTAATGCCGAGATTAAACTCACCAATCAGAAAATAAATGACTTGGAAAATAGTAAAAGTTTGAAGAAAGCTGTGTTACTGAAAGATGACACAAAGGAAGAACAAGAGAGTGTTCTTGGATGCTTTTTATCGTCCAAAACACAAGAACAAACTCATCAAGATTGTTTTAACAATAACAGTGAGAATACAAGCAATAAGGAGAAAATGTTTGAAAAGAACCTTTCTGAAAGTCGGAAACTTTCTCATGAAACTGAAAAATTGGTCAACATACACCATAAAGATGTCACCTCTCTAACTGAAGAGCCACTTAAAGGAAATCTTGAAATTCAGACACCTCATTTGCCAGAACAGGAAAGGAAGAAAGAGGAACTTCCACAAGATAAGCAATGTGGAGAGTGGGTCCAAGTACCTCTTATTGAACATAAAACTGGTAATAGTATATGCAACATAGCAAGATCAAGTAGAAATATAACGTCCCATCCAGAGCAGCTTCGGCAAGCCCAGTTACCGTACAGTGTCCAGGAAAACAATATTGTAAATAAGCCAGTGAACAAAGATGATAGTAAATGTGACAAGACTTCTCCCCACAAAGCGAAAATGTCAGACTCGTCAAAGGACTTGAGCACACACTGGTGCAGGTTATGTAATGTGTTTTTTACGCATATATGTGGATTTGTGAAGCACCTGGAGTCGTCATCCCATATGGAGAAACTTAAGGTAATTATTATCTTTGGCACTGTACTCTCACTATTACATAGATTATTGTAAGGATATTATAACATTGTATTCTCTTCAGTTTCATTTCTAGTTCATTAACATTTACTTGCCCATGAATTGTCTTTTTGCCTTTTTATTTTATATTTTGGGTCTACCAATTTATAAGCTTCAGATTGCTCAAGAGAAGTTACTGGTTTGCATAATTTAGTATGAAACATTTTATTTTGCTGATTCTAATTTTCTGCCTTTGGTGTGTGTGAGTAGGAAGAGAGTAAAGAGACATGGGTGCAGAAGATGCCGCAATACACAACCAAGAATCACTCGGAGGTTATTGAAGGAAAATCAGAAACTGTTGGTATGTACACAAGTCATAATATAGTAGCAAGTTCCATAGTCATAACCACACTTTAAAATGTTCTAATTTAAGGTTTACTGGTGAAAACTGCCCTTGATCCTTCATTATAGTATCTTATTTGGTATTTGTTTCCTTGTACTGTTGCCGTGCTTGCAAACGCCCTATAAGCATGTGTACTTACTTTAAACCATGGGTTGCATATTATAATCTGTTTATGCTATCCATTAGTCTTTGTATTGTTGTAGTCTAATGGAATACTTGGTATTTAAATTGACAAGGTATATGAGGGTTTCAGTAAGTTAAGAAAGTGCCTTCTATCTGAATTGGGAATTTAACAAAAGAAGTGTTGGCATTAACCTGCACAAGTGCTGCATACTTCATGATTGGACTAGTTTGACTCATTTTTGGGTAAGGAAATGTCATAGTCCTGTTTAGCCAGTCAATAAGTAGGCTTAGAAGTTAATGTAATGCAATGTATACTACATATCCTTACATATTTCAAAGCTAATAATCAAGCTAGCATTAATGATTCATGGGTAAATAATAATAAACATTTTTATCTAAGAATTATCTTTTTTTTTTTTTGACATGATACTCATGTATATTATCTTAGGGGCTGAATTTCTTCATTCAACCAAGATCTTCATTTGTGAGTTGTGCGAAAGTATTTTGTGGAACGCACAAGATGCTGCTCTTCACCCCCAGTCCTCTCACCATGCCCAAAAGTATAAGGTTTGTTCATAGTTTTTTCTGTACCTTGTATATTCATGATGTGTCTCATTAAACAAACAAAAATTAAGGTTTTATTCTCATTGGAAATAGCATTTCCAATGAGAAAATATATTTAACTTTGCTTTACACCATAGTTTTTCACCATAGGCATTGTTGTGGGTCTTTGCTGCCCATTTTACTGCTGGGTGCCACTGATCACAGGGGTAACACCTCAGTCCACTACGAGGTAGGGTTCCTTCCAGAACTCAGCCTTGCTCCCGTAGCAAGTGAAGTAAACTCGATCCTCCTCAGCTTCATTTTTTACTGTGTCGGTTGACACAGAAGCTCGGGTCCCTCGATCGGGCTTCCCCAACATAAATGACTCCAACAACAGATATAGCACACAAGGTCACCAGCTGATCCCACTAGTACACATAGCTCACCACACTTAGTGGTGGTATTAGGAATTTCCCAGTACAGTATAGCATGTTTTGCAAAGGTATGGTGTGCAACAACTCAATCGCTCTAACCGTAGAGGAAATGGAGGAGAAAAAACAAGCATGTTAGTATAAAACTATGAAGGTTTACTAAATAATAACTAGCCAACAGGTGAAAAACTTCCACTGTTCCGGTAGAATGGCAACACTTTTGGAAAGTCACCTCTGACAACTTTCTCTGCTGTTACCTCCGAAACTGTCCGTGACCGTCACTAGCACTTACTTACCTTCTTTCACATACATAAGTAAACCTGGCCCAAACTTCACAGAATGTACTACACAGACTATATTCCTCCAACATATGATTACTGATAGTTCATACGTAAAACAGTATTTATAGACTAGAAATAAAAATGAATTTTGGAGAATTGATTTTTGAATTACCACCAACAGTGAAAAGAAACGTACGAAAGATCGAGAAAATTCGTGTTAGAATTATTAATCTTACTTTTTCGGTCATATTTAATAATATATGTCTACAGGAAAGACTGCTACCAAAATATACTAATATTAAAACAGTATTTATATATATTTCTGGGGGAAGCCCCGTCGGCTCCCCGGAGCTATCCAGGCTGATATGCTAATGTTGGACTTTGGCATCAGTTATGTGTATGGAGTTCTGTGGGCCTACCAGGGACCACGAGCCAGAGCCTGGCCCCCTCAGAAGAGGTACGAGGAGCAACGACCTATAGAAGCCCCTGTGTGGTTGGAAGCATTCTATGTTTGCCATCGACCGGGTCAGGCACCCAAAAAGGTAAGCATCCCAAAACAAACCCTTATTCTGGTGAAAATTGCAACATAAAAACGAACAACTGGATAGAACTCCCCAAACAAATGGGCAAATGGGTATGACGTCACAAGCCGCCGTGCCGCTGTCTGCGCAGCTTCCCCCTCCCCGGTAGGGTGAAGGGGGAGCCCCAGACCCCCCTGCCGACAATCCACCTCTCAGTTCTGAGGCTGGAGCTATAGGCAATGGTTGTGTTCCCTAGCTCCAGTGGTTGTTTCAGCACTGAATCTTGTATGTGGTGACTGTCTTCTAGCCGGTCGGGAGCCGGTTGGCCGAGCGGACAGCACGCTGGACTTGTGATCCTGTGGTCCTGGGTTCGATCCCAGGCGCTGGCGAGAAACAATGGGCAGAGTTTCTTTCACCCTATGCCCCTGTTACCTAGCAGTAAAATAGGTACCTGGGTGTTAGTCAGCTGTCACGGGCTGCTTCCTGGGGGTGGAGGCCTGGTCGAGGACCGGGCCGCGGGGACACTAGAGCCCCGAAATCATCTCAAGATAACCTCAAGATAGGTGGTGCGTGAGCCGGGGGTGATTCTTCAGTACTCGGGCTGCATGCACCTAGAGTTTCCTTCCCTAGGTGCCCAGTAAATACTGCCCTTGGGGCGTGAGGCCACCTTCCACAAGTTCCTTAGGTTCTGCCTCTGCTAGGCCGTTTACTGCTTGGTTTTCGGCCGCCCTTTGTGTGCTTGGGTGTTCTGTCTCCCTTCTTTGCCTTAGGGTAGGGAGCAGTTTGCACTGGTAGGGGTGCAGGGTACTGCGCAGCTTGTTTTCACCAATCATAGCAGCGGGCTCTGTTCCACCTGGGTACGCTGTCCTCTTGCGGGGGTTTTCTTTTTCTTTTTGTTTGCCTGCTTGGTGGGGGGGGTCTGCCTTGGTTCTTGCCCCCTGTGTACTGAGTACTCTTCTGTTTCCGGTGGTTTCCCCTGATTGGTCCCCGAGAGTGTACATGTCCCAGGGGTTCAGTTCTTAGAAGGTTGTTTGGTAGACTTGGGCGCCAGTTAGCAGTACCCTGCCTGGGTTTATCTGAGCGTGAGTTCCATCTCAGGACCCTGGGAATCCCCATGGGGGGTGCGTGGGTCCGATGGATATGACCCCTGAGTCCCTCCCTCGCTTTGTGCGAGTTTGAGGGTTGCTCTGTCCCCTTGTCTCAGGGTGCCTCTCATTGTTTTTTGCCTCCGTTTGCTGCCTGTGGGGTCGGTGGCACCTACGACCCGGAGTTCTGCGAGTTTTGTTGCTTATTTGTGACTTGGTTACCCAGGCTTATGCTCACTATTCGGGTACAAGCAGCATGGGCATTGTACGTTGGGTTCAAGTGGTTGCAACGCGCCAATACCGGAAGTCCCAGGGGTACCCCGTTTTGGTTGTTGTGACAGGGCTTGGGGGTGTTAATTGCTTCGGTTTTGTTTCCTTCCACACCCCCTGTCTTTCTCCTGTTGTGGTTTCGTCTGGTCACCACCCGTTCCCCCTTCCTCCCTGCATCCGGATTCTATCCGTCTGCAGGTTCAGGGTCGGGGCGGGGATTCGATGGTCTTGAGACTCGGACAGTCGCGGGTGTTTTCCCTTCCGGGGTAGCAACAGAGGCATTCGAGCCTGTTCCTCCAGCCGTGTTGTATGAGTCTGCCAGTGGGTTCCTTGCTTAGTAATTTTACGGCTCCCCCGCCTATTTCTTGGGAGGCTGGGGCTTTGTGGTGGGGGGGACGGCTCGGCCCTGGGCCTGCTGGGGCTTTTGGGAGGGGCTGACTTGGGGGGCCCTCAGGCCCCGTTGGGCAGTTTTCTACCTTCTGAGTGGGGCTTGCAGTTACGGGGAGTGGGGTTTTTCCTTTACCCCTACTCTGCATACGAGTTGTTGGGCGTCGGTCCCTCCCCGGGTTCAGATCCTTGTCCCTTCGGGTCCGTTCGGTTCCGTCCTGTTGGTGGGTACTTTTCTCCATTCTACCTCCTGTTCTCTGGGTCGGGCCTTTTCCGCCGTGTCGGGGTTATGTTCCCCTATTATCAGGGTTCTGCATGACTTTTGGTCTCAGGTGTGACTGTGACTTTATGAGCCTTTGTGATTTTGTGTTTGCTTCTGTGAGATCTCAGGGGTTCAGGAAGGTCTTCGATTCTAACCACATTGTTGGAACGTCTGTCTTCTTCCGGTGAGGCTTACCTCCAGTCCTTTTTGGACTCATCAGTCCTCTTCCGTGCTTCTTCTTGGTTTTCGATACTGTCTCATTCTTTTGTCATTATATCTTCTCTCTGTGCTCTGTCTAGGCACTGCTAATATTTTGAAGTTCTCCTTGTTGGCGCCCTTTTGGCTGGGCTGGGTTATGCAGTTTGGACCTCATGCGTCCTGCGCATGCGCCGTGGAAGTTTGTTTTGTTCTGTACGGTGTACACAAGTGCTGGTGTTCTGCGTCCTTTTCTCATGGGTGCTTCGCCTCTCTCCCTCCTCTTGTCTCTCCAGTCTGTGCCCCATAGATGCTGGAGGTGTTCTGGGTTGCCACTATGGGGAAGATGCTGGGTTTTCCCTGCATCTTCTGCAGAGGGTGTGGGGTGCCTCATTCGCCTCTACCCTACTCTTCTCCTGCAGGTGCGGCTCTGGCCTTCTTCCTCTGGCGGTGCTCCCGGCATCTTCTCGGCTACGTTGTGTCGTGACACATTCGTGCTTACTTTCTGCAGATGAGTTTATGCGGCCTGGCATCTCTTTCAGCCAGGCGCTGATTCGTGGTTTTTGGATACAAAAATCAGAACATAAGAACAAAGGTGACTGCAGAAGGCCTATTGGCCCATACGAGGCAGCTCCTATTATACTCGTCCGGTCCCACTCATATGCATGTCCAACTCATGCTTGAGTCAATCAAGGGGCCCCACCTTCGCCATGTTACGGGGCACAACATGTTTCCTTCCCATGTTTCATCTTTGGGAAGGTAGCTCTGGAGAGCTGACGGGATTTCCCCCCAGAAAACCAGCATTGAATGTAATGAAATGCCATTTTCTGGGTGAGACCCGGAGGCTCCCCAGCAACCCTCCCTCTCCCCAGTCGGCGTTTTTTTAAGTGTTTTGATGTCCAGCCTCAGAACTGAGAGGTGGATTGCCGGCCCGGGGGTTCTCCCTTTCCCCTACCGGGGAGGGAGGAGCTGCGTAGACAGCGGCGCGGTGACGTGTGACGTCATACTTGTTTGCCCGTTTGTTTGGGGAGTTCTATCCACTTTTTCTGTTTTTCATCGTAATTTTCACCAGATTAGGGGTTTGTTTTGGGATGCTTACCTTTCTGGGTGCCTGACCCGGTCGATGGCAAACAGAATGCTTCCAACCACACAGGGGTTTCTATAGGCCATTGCTCATCGTGCCTCTTCTGAGGGGGCCAGGTTTTGGCTCGTGGTCCTCGGTAGGCCCACAGAACTCCATACACATGACTGATGCCAAAGTCTGACATTAGCATATCAAGCCTAGATAGCTCCGGGGAGCCGAAGGGTATCACCCAGAAAATGGCGTTTCATTATATTCAACACTGGGTTTTTAATTGTGCCCGGCCCAATTGTAAAAGTTACCGAATGACTGAAGTCCAGACATTTTATGCTCCAATTTATGTAGGTATATAATGAATATTCTTGAGTATGATTTTGTGTGTATATATATATGCGATCATAGACTCAAAATTGTTTTAAATTTCAGGAACATGTCCAAAAAAACACGGATCAAGAAAGAAGTTTCCTGACGGAAAAAATGAATGCATTAACTAAGTATTTCAAAGAGAGAAAAGCTAGATCACAAAATAACCCAACAAAAGAAACCAGTAAAGTTATTATTACTGAAGGTGCCCATAAGCAATCAGAAAATGGTTCCAGAGATCAACGTGTATTGCATAAATCAGAGTCGCCTCTTTCTCATCCATGCGGTGGATTGAGCAAGAAGCGAAAATCTCTCTCTCTTGAGGACTATAGCAAAAGAACAAAATTTGCATGAGAGGAGAAAAGTGAAATATAGACTGATGATATTAACAATTGAGAGAGGAAACTATCACTAAGATTCTAATAGTTCCAGAAAAAGTAATACAAAGAACATAATTCCAGAAACTAAACATAAATTTGGTGCCTCTACATTAGAAGAGCTTCACAAAGATTTTATTGGAACAGAAATGAAATCCATCAGTTATCCTGAACTGAAATATTGAAATGAGATCTTTTCGGCACTTACCAATGAACACTAGATAAGGGAAGGCTTTCTAGTGTCTCAGAAAGCCCAAGTGTAAATTAAATACACTAAGATCTTCTAAATATCATATTGATACTGAAGTGGTCATAAGTATAATCATGGTACAGGCAGGTATAGGAAGACTCGAGTGATGATTGAGTACAAAATTGAAGGATGAGAGGTTATCCATATTAGGGAGTCACCAAAAATGTCTCCAAGGTCTGGGTATTTATCAACCAAAGATTTTAGCATTTAAATATTACTATACAGTGTGTATGGATGTGCATACTGTATAGGATTGCTTAAATCTAAAGACACGTATATAAAAAATATAACAAACTATTCCTACGGACATTATCCAAATTCTTGAATCATTAGCTGCCAAGCAAAACCTCATTTTCTCTCCTCAGGCACTGGGAATATTGTGGTCTCTCAAAGCCAAGTATCTCAGGAGGGGGGTAAGTGTGTGCACTGTAACACCCATTATAAGCTTTAAATTGTAATTGTAAAGTCAAGATTGCCAAATAGCATATGCTAAAAAATGCGAGAAGAAAAATTGCGTAAATATTAAATCAAATGAAAAAACTACAAAAACCCAATTGTTTTAAATGCAAAGAATGGCAGCATCTTGTATGTAGTGACTTAAACATTTGAGACCTTAAATGTAAATGTGTTTCCCTTCTCAATGGGATTTTCTGTGGGAAGCCCCAACGGCTCCCTGAAGCTATCAGACTGATTTATGCTATATTAGTCTGGGGCATCAGTCACATGGAGTTCTTAACTACCGGGAACCACGAGCCAAAACCTGGCTCCCTCAGAGAAGTGCAGGGAGCAATGGCCTAGGAAAACTCCACTCTTTGAGAGTATATTCATGTCTGCCATTGACCGGGGAAGGCACCCAGAAAGGTATGCAAACCCCCCCCCCCCCCCCTTCATTGGTGTTTTTTCTCTCTTCTCAGCTTGTTGTGGCCCCTTCGGTTCAAGATTCTTTTCATAAGACTTTGTTTTTGTTGGCTTTCACCTCTGGGGATTGGGTCAATGAGCTTCACAATCTCCTCCAACGCAGGTGTTTCTGCTCTTTCGGGCTTGGTGTCCGTTTTGTTCATTTGCAGCCGTCTCCTTCTTTTCTGGCGAAGAATGAGATGGCTGGCTTTCGGAGGGGTTCGTGGGTTGACGATGCTTGGTTGTCAGGCCGGGGGTGCATCATGTGTTGTGTCCGGTGGTGGCTCTTCACCACTACCTGCGTGCCACTGCTTCTGTGTCTTTGGATGTGCTTTGGGTGGATCCAGTTTCTCTCGTTCCCAGTTCCAGTACTCAGGTGTTTTGGGTTGTCTGCAGGGTTATTAAGTCTAGCCAGCCTGCCATCTACCTTCATGTCCATGATGTTCGGTAGTTTGCAGTACCGAAAAGACCGCTGCGGTCTTTGGTAACATGTCTTGGGTTAACTTTTGGCACAGAGGTACAGTATTGGCGTTTGAACAGGGTCCTGGTCGCCCGTTCTTTGGGTTAATGTTCCAGGTCTTCAGCGACCCTGTCTGGCTCTGGGGTGCCTGTCACGGCCAGCTGTCTCATCTTCGTTCTGAGGGACGCAGTGCGGCCGCCTCCCGGGTAAATCCTTGTTTTACTTATCTGTGGGTATCTGGCTTCAGAGAGCCAACAGGGCTTCCCACAGAAAACCAGCATTGACTGTAATGAAACGTCATTTTCTGGGTGAGCCACGGAGGCTCCCTGACACCCTCCCTCCCTCCCTCCCTCCGGTTGGCGGTTTTTCTTTTTGCTTGCTCAGTCTCCAAACTGAGGGGCGAGCAGCCGGATCGGGGGTGGGTGGGGAGGAATGAGTGGCGCAGTTTGTTTGATGATATTTTGCTTTCTCCATTGTTTTCTTAGGAGAGTTCTTGGATTCTTTACCGGGGACCACGAGCTAGAACCTGGCCCCCTCAGCAAGGCACGAGGAGGGGCTCCCTCTTACCCCTCCCCGGGAGGGGAAAGGGGGAGCCCCCAGACCCCTGCACCGGCGATCCACACCTCAAATCTTCGGCTGATGTGATACGGCATGGTCGTGTGGCTCCAGCCTCTTGTGTTGTGCTGTCCTTTGGTTCAGTTCTGCTCTTACGGTGGGTGTGCGAGCTGGGAGTAATATTCACAGGTACTCGGGCTGCATGTGCTTAGGGTTTCCTTCCCTGAGTACCGTGTAAGTACTGTACCGCCCTTGAGGCTTGGGGTTCTTTTCCACAAGTCACCTTGGGTATACCCCTGTTGGTCTTTTGCTGCTTGGCGATTGACCGCCCCAAGTGTTTTTGGGGGTTTCCACTCTTGTCTACCTAGGGGTAAGTGGTAGTTTTGCACTTGTAGGGGCACGGGGTACTGTGCAGCTAGTTTTCACTTATAACAGCGGCTGACTCTGTTCCTTCTGGGTACGCTGTCCTCTTGCAAGGTTTTTCATTTTCTTTTTGACTCTTCATCGTTATACTTACCTTTTGGTTAAGGTTCTTTTGTCCTTTCTCTCGTGGCTGTTTCCAGACCGTCATCTTATGCCGAATACTGTCACCTCATATCTTACGGCATTGGCGGAGCCACTGCAGCTTGCTTTCAGTATAGATGTTACTTCTGCTCATTTTCCCAAGCTGTCTCGTGCGTTGTTTCACCTCCGGTCTGCTCATGCGCCTCCTGAGTCGTCCTAGTCTTTGGACAGAGTGCTCTCCTATCTCTCTTCTCCTTGGTTTGTTGTGGCCCCCTTTGGTTCAGGATTGTTTTTCTAAGGCTTCTTTCTTGTTGGCATTGGTCTCTGGGGGTTGGGTTGCGGAGCTTCCTACTCTTCTCCGACGCAGGGGTTTCTGTTCTTTTGGTCGTGGTGATAGGTTTGTTCGTTTGCAACCATCTCCCTCTTTCTGGTGAAGAATGAGACTGCTGCTTTCCGGAGGGGTCCTTGGGTTGTTGATGCTTGGTTGGTCAGGCTGGGGGGTGCATCATGTGTTGTGTCCGGTTGCGGCCCTCTGCCGTTATTTGCGTGCCACAACTTCTGTGTCCGGGGACGCACTTTGGGTTGATCCGGTTTCCCTTTTTCCCTGTTCTCAGGTGTGGGTCTCTCAGGTTGTCCGCAGGATTATTAAGTCTAGGCAGCCTGTGGTCTATCCCTATGCCAATGACGTTCGTAAGTTTGCTGCGCTTGCAGCTGTCTTTGGTAACATGCCCTGAGCTGACATTCGGGCATGGGGTTTTTGGCGGTCGAACAGGGTCCTGCCTGCACGCTACCTCGTTAATGTTCTTGGGCCTAGTCGGGCCTGTGTCACTTTGGGTTGGCGGTTGCAGCCTGTTGTCTCGACCTCAAGTTGAGATGTGAGCACCAACTGCCTCCCGGGTAAGTTCCTTTCGTTTTCATCTTTGGTGAAGTAGCTCTGGGGAGCCGAAGGGGTTCCCCCAGAAAACCAGCATCGAATGTAATGAAACGCCATTTTCTGGGTGAGTCTTGCAGGCTCCCCGTTAACCCTCCCTCCCGCCAGTCGGCTTTTTTTTTTTTTTTTTTTAATCCAGCCTCAGAACTGGGGTGTGGATCGCTGGACGGTGGTCTGGGGCTTCCCCTTCCTCCTCCCAGAAAGGAGGGAGCTGCGCAGACATGCGGCGTGGCTTGTGTGATGTCATGCTCGTTTGCTCGTTTTCATTTGGAGAGTTCTGTCCACTCAGTTGCATATTTTGGTCGTTTACCTTTCTGGGTGCCTGTCCTGGTCAATGACAGATATAGAATGCTCCAAATCACATGTGCATTTCTATAGGCCATTGCTCCTCGTGCCTCTCTGAGGGGGGCCAGGTTCTGGCTCGTGGTCCCCGATAGGCCTAGAACTCCACCCACATTGACTGATGCCAAATTCTAAAAAGATACATATCAGCTTTGATAACTCTGAGGGAGCCTCCGGGACTCACCCAGAAAATGACGCTGTTTTTTTATTTTTTTCACATTAAAATAATGTTTTTGCATTTTATACTCCATATATTTAAATGACTAAAACTCCTAACCATAATTATGACACAATCAAAAGGAGGATCTTGTGCACTTCACATGAAAGCCTGCGCGTGTGTCACAAACCAGCATGTGTGTGTGTCACAAACACCAGTCGCACCATCACACATTCGCCACCTCTAAAATTCTCTACCCAAATCCCCAAAATGCCTGATATTAATAGAAACATTTAAATATTCATACATGACACGTTTTGATGTTTCATTAGCATAAGAAATATTTTGTGAACTATAAATTTGGTATGAAATTTGGTTATTTACTTTCACATAATTGTTTCAGCACAATATATTTTTTTGTTTTTGGTGTTTAGCATACAAAGATTCCAAATAACAACACACACACACACACACATGTAAACATTTTGTCCAATTGAACTACTGTCCTGTACATTAATGTACATATACTCATCGTGTGTAAAATCATAACAGATGTGCTTCTCATGTAGATACAGTATAGTTCTAAGTGTTACAGAACAAATTAGCTGTGTACTGTACATACTCTTGTAAATCTCTCGGGGTACATTCACATGCTATTAACTTTATAAGTCATAGGTTGAGGCTTGAATTATCATTCATGTATCAAACAAATATGAGTTATTTAGTTGTAAAGCATTTTACTGTTGTTTTAGATGGAAGTAAAGAATTGTGCCGTAAGCAACATCTATGTGCATTCTTCTGTCATTCATCCTTTAAGGTTAATGTACATCGAGCTTCGCAGTCACTGATATTTCCTTGTGGTAATTATTGCTTCAGCATGCAGAAACAGACAGAAAAATAGAATATGAAGGTAATTTTATGATTTACAAAGGGGACATGATACGCAACAAGGATTATTAGTGTGCTGAAGAAATCTTTTTATACAGTCTCAAGTCTGGTCATTTTTTAACAGTTTAATTTTAGGTTTATTATCACTACAGTATTCGGAAGGTGGGTATATAATTTTTGTAATGTCTGCTAATTGTTATTCAGAGTGGAAAGATACTTGAATATAGAATTTTGCAGGCTTGCTCTTAAATATGTTTTGTGTTTGATACCTGTTTGATTACTTGTTTAATGGGGTTCTGGGAGTTCTTCTACTCTCCAAGCCTGGCCTGGAGAGTAGAAGAACCCTGGTCTCACAAGTAAAGCCTGGGGCCAGGCTTGACTTGTGAGAGCTTGGTCCACTAGGCTGTTGCTTGGAGCAGCCTGCAGCCCCACATATCTACCACAGCCCGGTTGGTCCGGCAACCAACGTGTGTGTGTGTGAAGGTTATAAATATACTCTACAGAGGCACAATGAAATCATAGCATTATGTAACAATGACAAAATCAGTAGGAGCCGTGACAAGGATTCAAACCCACATGGTACTCCCAAGCCTCATGCCCTAGTGAAGACCACTACACCAAGATATGGTAAAAGCAATGCAACCTGGGATTCAGCTGAATCCTCTAGGGGTCTTGAGGCGACCACTGAAGCCCAATCAGGGGTTTCACACACACACACACACACACACACTGCCCCCCTTCCCCCCATGCACTCTGGTAGTGCGGGTTCAAATCCTCCTCGTGGCTCCTAAGATTTTCTCATTGATACATCATATTAATGTGAATTCATTGTGCATTTAAAAAGAGAAGCATTGCAGGTTGAACTACTGGGCCACGTTCAGAGGGAATCGAGGCAGCGAGTGAAATCCCTGATTGGGCTTCAGTGGAAGCCTGAGGACCCCTAGAGGATTCAGTTAAATCCCAAGTTGCATTGCTCTTTACCATATCGTGGTGTAGTGGTCTGGATTAGGGAGTGGGGCTTGGGAGTACGAAGTGTGTGGGTTTGAGTCCTTGTCACGGCTCCTCCTGACTTTCCCATACTCTACAGACTTATCATATCTGGATGAACCAACCGGTGTCCAATTCATGTAAAGTCTCTAAGTTATTTAACCACCAGCTGGGTAATGGGAGATCATAGTGAAAAAATGATCTGGTCCATTAACGTCTTCGATTTATACGCGTGATCTCTAGATTATCTAACTAGTGGTCAGAAGGGCTGAAATGTCTCTCCTGAAAGCCTAGGGGGTCAGTCCCAGTCATCCATATAATCGGGTGGTCCCAGTGTACACTCATGCACAATATACATAAGATTATTGCTAGAATAATAATTAAAAGCAAATTTTAAAGAAATTAGGTGGAGAGAAATTGTAAGAGCAAAACCTTGAGCAGCTATTAAGGGTGAAGGAGGGGGCATTTTTCTGGACTAACTGTGTATCCTACTACTTGGGTTTCAAGAAAGTCAGCAAACATCTTTGGTAAGATGTACGAAGCTAGGAATATCTCAGGTTTGTTGGAGGTAATCAACTTTCGTGATGTCTGAATTTAAATCTGATAATCTTTTATTTAAATTCATCACTTAAAATTATATAGTGCAGTATATATGTATATATATGTTACTAGGATTGTAAATAGTGGTTAATTTCAACTATAGATTGTTATTTTAAGTAAATGAAAAAATGCCAATTGTACTCACCTAATTGTACTTGTGGGGGGGCTGAGCTTTGGCTCTTTGGTTCCACCTCTCAACTGTCAATCATTGTGATACTGTAGCATATAGGTGCATGGTTTGAAAAAACCTGCACCGATATGCTATCACATATTTTCAAACAGTTTTGAAAACTTACTTCCTTTCCTTTCCTTTAGTCAAGGCAATTTTCATTTGAATGAGCAACAGATATATTGCTCACCTAATACATACATATTTTATCACAATAAATATTTTTTAAGCCTTAACAAATGTTTTTAATTTTCCAAAAATATTGAACATATTTATTTACCATTCATTCCAAATTGGGTTATTCAATAATTTATTAAATTATTTCTGTAATTGATGTATGTCATTAGAATACTTATATATGAGATACACAAGAACTTTGAAGAATCAATTTTTTTTTTTTTTAAGGGGTAATGGTCACTTTAAAAAGTCGGAAATATAATACTGTAGTTTGCACACACTAATTTACAGTTTCTTATATGATTTTATTTGCAAGACATTTAGGCATTATATGTGCTTCCATTGTGAGCTGTATGCACACTGACTGTGATGAAGTTTCACTTCAGGAAAATACTGTACTGGTACATTCCCACACCCACTCAATGAAAACATTGTGGAAAGCATTGGCCAAGTGAGGGGCAAAGTTACGCCACAACAACCCTAGTAATAGCCTCCTGTTCAGTGCGTGCCAGACTTGGTAAACTCGGTACCATCCACATTCCTCGGCTTAAATGGTCAATGACTTACTTGGTAAATAAGGCATGTCATGAAAAACTCTCCAGATACCAAGCAGAACGCCTTAAAGGAGACCAACGTCGTCTATGCCTTTAAATCCCCAGTTGGGGACTGTAAGCCCCAAAGAACTCAGTATATAGGCAAGACAACAACGTCTCTTTCCAGTCGATTGACAATGCATAAGCAACAGGGCTCCATCAAGGAACATATAATCTCTTCTCACAACCAGACCATCACCAGAGAAATCTTAACAAACACAGAAATCATTGATAGGTACAGTGATAGCAGGCGGCTCAACATCAGTGAGGCACTACACATCAGTCAACACCAGCAATCAACAGTCAATTAATGCACAACTATATTCTACCCACTTCAAGACCCAAAACCAATATGGAAGCAACAAGAGGAAGTATGGGCTACTAGGCCTTCAGCAGTTCTCATATCCAATTTATACCCATTGTCTTGTGTCCTGTCTTGTATTTGTTATACACATATATACACATATATACATTATATACATACATACAGTGGAACCGTGAGTGAGAAGCGACTCCAGTTACGAGCATTTCGAGTAACGAGCAAGCCACTTGCAGAAAATTTGTCTCGACTGACGAGCTTTCGCTCGATTAACGAGCATTCGCTCGATTAACGAGCATTCCTGCTGGTTTTCGGACACCTCCGACGACAGTGTTGTTGTTGTTTCGAAAGACGAGTTTTCCACATGACAAGCTCGGTACTGGAACGGATTAAATTCGTTAATCGAGGTGCCACTGTGTAATATATGTATATACTGTATATCTGGAAAGAGGGGTTACCTTGTGTTGGTTCTGGGGATCAGTTCCTCATGGACCAGTCTGACTAGGCCTCCTGAGGTTCATACAGGACTGTTATTGGTATAAATAAATGAAAACTTATGCCTGTGAAAATGGAAAAGCAAATAAAGCACTAAAAATATAGGCAAAGTGTATATTTATACATTTGACATTTTGTACAAACATGCATTGATATGTATGCCTAAAAGTTCACCTCTATCAGAAAAGAGGTGATTGTACATATAAATTGGTGTAAAATATTTAAAATATATTCTTTAATTTGACTGTAGAAGTAAGACATATACATGCATATATACAATACTGTATAACCTCCACATATAGAATAGGTTTATTGAATACATTTCATTATTAAACAAATTTCAATGCAAAAGCAATAATTAATTTCATGCAGCATTGATGAAACACCAAGACAGCAATGCACTTTTTCCTTCCACACTAATCGTCCAGAAATTAGACTTATCAATTTACTAAATAAAAAAAATACTGAATAAAGAAAAATACAACAAAGTACTTTACTTTCATGAATACTAGTACAGTCTATCCAAAAAATATAACTCAAGAAAGCTGGTTTCTGACAGTAAAAATATACATTTATGCTGAGAATTTCAAAAGAGAGAAAAGTTAGATCACAAAATAACCCAACAAAAGAAGCCAGTAAAGTTATTATTGCAGAAGATGCCCATAAGCAGTCTGAAAATGGCTCCAGAGATTAACGTGTATTGCATAAATCAGTCACCTCTTTCCCATCCATGTGGTGGATTGAGCAACAAGCAAAAATCTCTCTCTCTCTTGAGGACTATAGCACAAGAATAAAATTTGCATGAGAGGAGAAAAGCAAAGTATAGATTGATGGTATTAACAACTGTAGAAATTTAGAGAGAAAACTATGACTAAGATTCTCATAGTTCCAGAATATGTAATACAGTAAACATGACTCGAGCAACTAAACTTAAATTTGTTACTAATTCATCAGAGGAGCCTCGCAATGCTTTAGTGTAGAAAGCTCCATCTCTATCAAAGAGATATTGTTGGAACAGAAATGAAATCCATTGATTATCTTTAGCTGAAGTATTGAAACTACTTCTTTCTTGCTTTCACCAACAAACACTAGATAAGGACAAGATTTCTAATATCACAAGAAGGTAAAGTGCAAATTAAATGTACTGAGTTCATCCAAATGGCATTGATACTAATGTGGTCAGGAATATAAAATTACAAGCAAATAGTCAAAATTTTGCCAATTATATTTAATACAAAATTGAAGATTGGAAGTTCATCCATAAAAGAAGTCACCAAAAGTGTCTTCAACTAAGTTGTGGATATTTATCAACCATGAATTTAAGTACTGCTGCATATATACTGTATAGAAATGCTTAAAGACAAAGCTCCCACCATTAAAAGATATAGCAATTCCTATGGATATTATCCAAATTCTTAAAGCATTAGATGCCAAGATTGTGTGCATTTTATGCTTCACAGATCAAATTTAATTATTTATTTTGTCCCATAATTGTTTTATAAACAAAATTTGAATTTGTCATTTGTGCAAATAGAAAAACAGAACACTATAAATATATGCAAAGTATATACTTATACCATTTGACCATACATACAAACATTCATTGATCAAATATGCCTTAAAGTTTACCTCACAAAAGACTACCGTTTTTGTCAATTTATGCAAGATATTTTAAATAAGATATGCTGGATTACAAAAATCGTGGAAGCAAGACCTACACATGTATACACACAATATAGAGAAGAGTAACGTCAATCACTTCCTATCTTTTGTACAGTATCTCATTTTCCATAAAAGGTGCATTGGATCAAGTAAGCCTGATCTCTGATTATGTATCCAAAGAAAATTAAATATGCAATACTGTTGACAAATTGCCAAGCATATACCTATTTTAATACTGCATACTAATTTATCAGATTAGGAAAATGTTACAAAATAAATATAAATGTAACCTAATGCATTTACTTTTGGATCAAACATTATCAAGGAATTTTACAAATGTTTTGCTGGGATATTTCTTCTTGAGTCTTTCAGCTAGTGTCAGGCCAACAAATGGAGAAAAGGGATCACAAACCTTTGTCTTATCTTTTCCCACAAGACATGGACTTGCATCATTTGTCTCTTGGCTGTCACATGTTAAAACTCCATTCATTGCTTTATATTCAATTTCTGGTTTATCATTATTGCAGCCATGTTTGTTCCCCTTGTCCATAATTGGTATAGCTAATGACTTATTCTTGTTTCTCTGGCCACACAAGTTAATATTTTTTTCACGGTTTTCACAAGAAATGATGTTCATTCCCGAAGGCTTTTGTAATTCTTTTGCACATGTGACACTGGACTGAGGTGGCTTCAATTCTGAATAATTTGATACACTGTTTTCACAATCACTGAAGCTATCAAGGAGTCTGAAGGTCACTCTTGATAAATTCCGCTCTTTACAGGTTTTTGGGGTTTTGTTGAAGGTAGAAGAGTTACAGTTGATCAAAGCAGCACTATTATTGTTGTCCTTTACAATATAAGGAATAGTTTGCTTGTTTAATATTGGAAGAGAATCATTTAATGATAAGTCACTGAGTTTAGACGTTGTGGCAGAATAAGACAAACATTTATCAAACAACAATTTATTACAGTTGTCTTGCAAAGGAGAAACAAAAGATAAACAAGAACATTTGTCATCAGCATTTTCAATCACATGTGCATTTGGAGTGAATTTTACATCCTGAAGTATCATGGCCGAGTTACTCATTCCAACTGTGCCTCCATTGTCTGATAAATATGGAGTGGACTGTAGTCTGGGTAATGATGAACTACAACATGAAACAATACAAAGACTATCATCTGTATCATCAAACAGATCCTTTGACACTTGATTGATATTTATATCTGCCTTGGATTTGGGGCTGCAAAAATCTGCAGGTGATTTGGGGAAAATTTCCAAATATGATTTATTATTTTCACACAAAATTTCCATTTGTACAAACATTTCTGAGGACTGCTTAAATTCACACAGAGCATTTTTATTGCATGCAAGCGCTTCTGTATCATCATTAAAGCTGTGACTACTGACATTTCTGGTGTTCTGCACCTCTTTGCATGAACTTTTTCCCCAAGAATCAACAGACTTATGATCAGAATATGGGCTCCCATGTTGTTTATTAGATGACTGGTGCTGATGTTGCAGGCTGGCTGGACCCTTCTTATTTCCCTGGTTAAGTTTATGAAGTCTTTTGGATACTCTATTCAAGAAACTTTCTGGACAACTCTCGTTGTCATCTTCACAACCAATTACTTCTTGCGGCAGGTTTCCCACTGTAGAATCTAATAATTTCTGACAATTTATTTTCTTTAAGTTCACATTTTCCTTGTCTAGATCATAAGTTGTATAATGATCTTCAGCTTTTATCACTGCCCTCTGGTTTTCAGTGTAATATACTGGTGCCTGATTTTTCTGACACTTTTCACTTCCACTTTGCATATCTGTTTGGTGTATTCCCATTTGTGGCATACCCTTTTGGTGAATTCTTCGGTGGTTTGAGCTGTTATTAACCTTGATGTTGATTATTCTATCAATGATAAATGACAAATCATCTTCGTGCTCATCATCATCTTTCAACGTTTGGTTTAATGCACCTTCGGTATAATCACACTTGGAAGTAGGCTCTCCAAAAATTGTTGCTTGTTCTTTGTTTTGGCTGAACATGATATATTCATTCAGTTTGCTGTTCTTGTACATGGGACTAACACTGCTCGTCACAATTTTAGGAGTTTTGCTTTTAATAACTTTTATGGGGCTTGTCTTAACTAATTTGCTTAGATCATTTTTGCCTAATTGAATGGAGTTGTTTTCAGCCAGTTTCCTGAGATCATCTTTAACCAGCAGAGTCTTGGATTCATCCTTGTAATGTTTATCCGGTTTCTTTGTGTTATCTTGAGCTAACTTCACATGATAATCATCAACAAGTATCTTGTCATCATCCTTGGGCTTCTTCTTATTTTTACCTTCAAAAGAAAATAATAAAAATCAATAAGTCGAGCTTCAGGCAGAAATTTGAATTTTTTTTATAAGTCAGATTGATAAGAAAAACAGAAATAGATTTACAGTTTCTAACGACCCTTCATTCATCCACTTTTTTCTTTTTTTTAAGTTATACCATTTTGATTTCATCATGTAATATGCATATCTAGATTTAACTATAACCAAATATTAAAATAAAAGAAAAACTGTCAATTTACCAACATTTCTGAAGGAATGCAAATCCATAAACAGGTTTTCTGGAGGGTCTTACTAGCATAAAAAGCATTTAACCAATAAAATGTCAAAATAAAAGTTAAAATTTTGTAAAATAAAACTAACAAGTGCATAATAGATGTTATTCACATAAACTTTTACAATTGGTATATTGATAAGTAACACAATCCTTTAAGATGAAGGTACTGTACCAATGAAACCAATGCATAAGCCTACCTCTTTTCTTGGAATTGGCTTTTTCTTCAAATTCATGCAGAAGTTGAGGCAATGATTTTTGGATAAGATAGAGAGGTTCGTCTGTGATGAGGTAATCTGGGGTGTCTTCAGGAAGGTCACACGTGATAACTTTCCACTGCAACTCGTATGCCACTACACCACGTCGGACACATCGCCTCATAATACCAACCGGCTGTACAGGCAAAGATGATGATGGTATTCTATATCATGTTAAACCATTGCATTTTCAAGATTTCACCATTTATGCATTCCCACTTTTTTTGTGGGTAAATTACAAATGAATTTTTTTTGAGATTCATAAACTCATTAATAGCATCACTAGTGGCTCAGTCATAAGCCTCCCTACATGCATGAGAAAATTACAAACGAGTTACAGGAATCCATCTTGCCCATTGATACATGCTGAAACAAGCTTCACCAACCCACGTCAAGGCCCAATACTAATTTAAAAGTGATCGTTGTAGAGCGAATTTTTCCCAACTTCCTTCCCAAGTGTAGAATATAAATATAGAGATAACCTTTATAACAATATCAGGGACAGGAAGTACATACATAGGCCTATCGAGGTCTCCCTAGGCCAACTACTGACCTTTCCCATGATGCAACTCTCAACACTTGCCTATTGTATGGATACCTAATTAATTGCTAGATGAACAGGGGCAATAGGTGAAAGGGACCATGCCCAACCATTTCTGTCCTGCTTAGTGACTGAACCCGGGACCATTGGTTTTGAGTTGAGGATATAGACCACCGTGCCACAGGACCCATATGTACTGCACCACAGTACAGCACAGGACCCATATGTTCTGCATCACAGTACACCACAGGACCCATATGTACTGCACCACAGTACACCACAGGACCCATATGTACTGCATCACAGTACACCACAGGACCCATATGTACTGCACCACAATACAGCACAGGACCCATATGTACTGCACCACAGTACAGCACAGGACCCATATGTACTGCACCACAGTACACCACAGGACCCATATGTACTGCACCACAGTACAGCACAGGACCCATATGTACTGCACCACAATACAGCACAGGACCCATATGTACTGCACCACAGTACACCACAGGACCCATATGTACTGCACCACAGTACACCACAGGACCCATATGTACTGCACCACAATACAGCACAGGACCCATATGTACTGCACCACAGTACACCACAGGACCCATATGTACTGCACCACAATACAGCACAGGACCCATATGTACTGCACCACAGTACACCACAGGACCCATATGTACTGCACCACAATACAGCACAGGACCCATATGTACTGCACCACAGTACACCACAGATATCATTTGCAGTACAGTACTACAATCGTTCAACACTGCCACCTTTCTTTACTCTAGAAAAGTTGTAAAACCATGAGAATTTTGACTATGCTGCCCATAAAATAGCCAACAACTTGATACGAAAACCTACCTGAAGACATCGAAGCATTGTCCCATGGGTCACAATCCATCGAGTTACAACTGGAGAGGTTTTCTCCACTGCGTATTCTGCTGTCCAGTCTAGTTTCTGGATGCACCATTTCTGAAAGATTCCTCGTGAGAAGCATTTTACAGTTTGTTTTAAGCAATCTGTAGAGAAAATAGATAAAAAACTGCATCCAAGAAATAATTAAAGATCATGAGCAATTATTTTGAAAATACAGTATGTAAAAATATGAGCCCTCATGATTTTTCATATCTGAGAAAATGATTAAAAATTAATTGCAAAAGAAACTATACAGATGTGCTTTTGTTGCTCCGGCAAATACTGCGACCTTGAAATGTTCTCGATCAGCTGACTGTATCTAGATGGCACCATTATGAATAAGGGAGTACCCTAGTCATAACTAAATTTGAATTCCTTTCTAATGCAAGCCTACCTTGAGGTTACCTTGAGGTGCTTCCGGGGCTTAGCGTCCCCGCGGCCCGGTCGTCGACCAGGCCTCCTGGTTGCTGGACTGATCAACCAGGCTGTTGGACGCGGCTGCTCGCAGCCTGACGTACGAGTCACAGCCTGGTTGATCAGGTACAGACTTAATTCACATCAGCCTAGACTTAATTCACTGATTAATTTGCAAACCATTGCTTGCTTTATATGGATTGTTATGTTATGTTGATATTTTGAAGTACTGTAATATGTACTGTAGTATGTGAAATTCCAGAAGCATGTTTTGGGTTGGCCAGTAATTGTTTGAATAGGCTAGTAAATGTAAAATTACTTTACTTAATCAAAATTACTTCTGAAACAATAAGTATTATTATTATCAGACCTTGTCACGGGTAATAACCAGTTAAGCTCAACCAGTCGCGACAGTCAGCTGATGAGATACTGCCAAGTATACTTCCAACACCAGTGTCCTTAGTTAAGGCAGCCAGTGTGGAGACTATAATTTATGGAGAATAACTGTTTATAGGAATAATGTTAAAGGTTGACTGTGTTCTACACTTGCCAGTAATAAGTTTTAGGTGTTTTAATTAGTAGGAGAAAAATCTTTAACAGACAATCTGTTAACACTGTGTCTAGAGGCTGGGAGCTCAGCTCAGCAACTCTCGACATCTGCAGTCTGGTTAGTGAATACTGAGGAAATGGAATTTGCCAGCTCAGGGCTGTAGATCCTTATTGTTTTTCCTGTTAGGCAGTGATAATATCTTATAATGAGCAGACTGTGATAACTAGGTGAATCATTACCTGTTAAAGGAGGCTATCTTGAGGTTATCTTGAGATGATTTCGGGGCTTAGTGTCCCCGTAGCCCGGTCCTCGACCAGGCCTTCTTTTTGTTACATACCCCCTCCCCGGGAAGCAGCCCGTAGCAGCTGTCTAACTCCCAGGTACACTATTTACTGCTAGGTAACAGGGCATCAGGGTGAAAGAAACATTCTGCCCATTTGTCTCCGCCTCCACCGGGGATCGAACCCGGAACCTCAGGACTACAAATCCGAAGTGCTGTCCACTCAGCTGTCAGGCCCCACTCTTAATTCATTCACTCGCCAAGGTCCTTTACATGTAACTTTCCTACTACGGATAGATTTGCTAGTGTTTTGTATCCTGTATTTTCATTTCATGTCTTCATTCTCACCATATCTTAGTACCTGTAATTTATCACTGTAAAACATCAAGTTATTTTCTGTTGCTCAATCAAAACTTTATTAATGCTCAGTTTACTCAGAACCTCAGTTTACGAATGCCCCTCTTCACAAATTTTTCAGTTTACTAGCTCAACTTCTTCAAAAAATTTGACTCGGTTTATGAGCTTTGCCTCGCTTGGAGAGTTTGTTGATATACGTATGGGTCGACCGAGTGTGTGGTTCCCGGTGGCAAAGGCGAGGCACCCTTCAGTTTACCAGTGCCTTTTGCCTATTGACGATCGCACTTGAGTTCTTTGAAAAGATTTTTTTTTGTTTACTGTGTATACTCAACATCTACAGTAGACAGCTTGATCTGACTCCTCTCCTTCATAAGTCACATTCAACTAGTCTGTGGCTTCTGGCAGTATCTCAAATTCCCCCCTTCCCCATGTAAAGCACACTCTTCATGACTGTATAAAACATGGCAATTAATGGATGCTATCTAGCCAACATAGATAAGGAACAAGTGTGGTGTTGGCCCTGGTATGGTTATATAATTCTCGCCTACCTATGCAGCCAGATATTAAACAAGGTTATTCATGGTAAAAGCTGTGGAATAGTCATCTGCCATTAAGTGGATATATTACTCATACTGAATAATACTTGGAAGAACAAGTGTGCTTATCACAGGATACAGAACCAAAACTGACAAACAGCACCATGTGACGTATGTCGGCAATGAAACATTTGTAAACAAATGTTCCTACATTTGAATAAGAGTATATTAGATAGAGAATTTATACAGTACCTGTGTATTTATATTAAATAAAACAAAATAAAAATGCAATTTGATGTAAGCCAATTGGTATTTATAAATAGACAAATTTATTAAATGCAATTTGTTGATTATCACCAGTATTTTTTTATAATGCTCATATAATAATAAAATATTTTCATTTTAGCTTACCACAAGTTCCTCATAGCATGGCTGATTCCACTGAATTTTAGAGATTGGACGACTGAGCTTCTGTTGAAATTCCTGGATGATTTCTGTGAAGGGGAACCCCTCTGTTGTCACTACCCTATTCCTGACTCCTGCTTCTAGTTCTTCAATGCTCCTAATGCAGAGATAATGGCATAAAACAGACAATATTAATTGGGAAGATCATCAATATTTAAAAAGTGTGGCCAACTGAACACTAATGAACACTGTCTTTCACAGGTACAGGTACACTGTCATTTACAGGTACAGTATGTACCATATTTCAATGCTTTGCACACTTTTGCATCCAAGATTGCTATACTAAGTGTAATAACTTTGCCAAACATTTCAGCCATCAATACTTACCCATTTTTCCATTTTCTGGAACTCATTTGAGTGTGCTGAGAGGCTGTGTTATCTTGGGTTGACCAAGAACACATTCTAGAAGAAAAAAGATAACTAATCACTTACTCGCTGATACAATTTAATCTTTTAGTATACATGTACATATTTTCAATTAACTATTCATGTTGCTAACTCTCAAATAAGTGAGGAGCCAAATATTTAAAGATGACGCTTTGATCATACAAGTCAGGTACATATCTTCAAGTCATAGCTACTGCAAAACAGACAAGAACAAACTATACAACTATATTCTGCAAATCTTTTCGTAAGTCTCATGCAAGATATCTTTCGTACACAACCCATTGTGAGTACCGTACATCTTGAACTTACTATAAAAGACTTGCTCAAACTCTTACTTCAATATACCTGCATTTCTGTGTACTGTATTTGTTCTTTAATATTTCACTTTACTTTTGGCTGTCTTCTAGTTTTTTTATCCATCTCATTTAAATATTTCAGCTCACCCTCCTAAAAGATAGTATTTATAATAACTATTTGATCCAAAGTACCAATATTTGCGTTAGATCACCAAAAATTCACATTCTGCATAACTGAATTAGCCCAAATGACATTCTTTTAAATATGAAAAGAAACTATACAAGAAACTATGAAACTAAAAAACTAAACTTTGTTCACTAAAGAACCTAATCTAACCTGCCCTCCTAGGCCTAATACATGCTATCTTAGGTGTAACATACTACATATATATGTGCTATACTAAGCCTAGGAATGTTTATGAGCTTAGCTATTTTTTCGTCACACTATAAATTTAGAAGTACAAAATGTGAACTTTTCGGTGGTCCAGCACTACATATTGGTACTTTGTGTCAAATAGCTACTGTACGTACTATCATTTTATTAGGAATAGGATGAAATTTTGTTCAGTGTTATTTTTCAATACATTTACATTGGCATTAGATTGAAAGTCCAAGCCTTATTATCCAAGTTGTCCTGTTTTCAATGTGACTTGAAGTGAACACTGTAGCACATCCACTGACCCACCAGGTTGCCTACCACATCCACTGAGCCACAAAGTTGTCCACCACATCCACTGACCCACCAGGTTGGCTACCATATCCTCCAAGCCACCAGGTTGCCCACCACATCCACCAATCCACCAGGTTGCCCACCACATCCACCAGGTTGCTCACCTCATTCACCACTAAAAGGTTGGCTACCACATCCACAGAACCATCGGATAACTCGGCACAATCACAAAACTACAAGATCATCCAACAGATGAATTCTACTTGATTTGTGACCTATTAATTTAACTAATAATTTACACGCAACAAACTGTAAATACTTTTACATTTTACCTTCGCACCGGGTCTCGCTCGCCAGACTCGTACCAAGCCTTGAGGAGTTTCACTGCCGTCTCTTTGCCTACTCCTTGTACACCACTTGGCAAGTAGTCACATCCAAGCAAAATGCCAAGAACTATTAATCCTCCACGAGTGAGTTGCAGTCGATCTTCTAGGATTTCCATACTATGATGAAAATTTTAAAGCCAATATAAATACACAATTTTGTAATTTACCACTATAAGATCCTGTAATTAATTATGTAACTTACAGCTGTCTTCTAATACAAATACAGTACTGTATAGGGTAAATGAAGACCATCAACATACCTCCACATCCTCATATTTATATTGTAGATACCCTCAACATTTTCAACACTACTGGAATGTTTTAGCATTAATCAATATACAGTATCAACTTGCCTCCTCTTTGTTTTGTTTTTACAGGAAGACTTTTGACAAAGACTAAGCCCAACCAAGTGTCAGGTGTAAGAAAAGACCTTTAGCAATTAATATTGAGGTAACTAATGACCACCCGTTCAAAGAGAGAGAGAGAGAGAGAGAGAGAGAGAGATAGAGAGAGAGAGAGAGAAAGGGGACCAATAATGACAAAATGAAAAATTCTACAACAAATCCATGAAATGTAAAAAAATAAATTGTGATGTACTTATTATTATCCTAGTTCCCATTTACATGATGTAGGGAAAACATAGAACATAAAAAAGATGGTTAAAAAATATACAAAAAACACTTACCAGTATTTTATTCACCATATCTCCCACACTGACCAGCATCACACAGAATCATCATCATTACAACTCCAGTCAAACATCTACAGCACAATACTGCTAATTCATATACTATATATGTAGTATGCTTCCTGTGATTTGTCAAATTACTGTATCTTAAACAATCACTTTTTGCACTAAATCCTCACTCACAAACTCACTACCTGTCCATCTTCACTGCAATCTCTCCTAATACCCTCAAATTCTATTACCTATGGCCACTCTTTGTACCATTTTATCATACTTTTATTTAACATGGCCAAATCATATCAACACGCAACTCAGTCTTACGATTTACCAACTTTTGAACTACACACCTCCATGATAATTACTGTCTAAGCTCGCTTATCCAGACTATATGGGAAGGACCCCTCACCGGATAAGTCAGACATCCAGATAAGCCAGACATCCGGATAAGCAGAATTTTTGCAGGAAAGTCCAAAAATGACCATATTTGCAGTTTTTTGTACCACAACCAAGCTAACTTGAATTTCCACACACACTATAAATTAACAAAATAATTTAAAAGAGAAAGTTCAGCTTACCTTGCTATAGTTTGTGTTCCTGTTCGATACTGTACATCTTGAAATGTGTAGTTCTTAAAAATGTACATAACCTAACTTCCAGTTATCTGGATTTCTGTCTAAATATGGCAAAATTTTGCCAGAAAATTATCTGGACATGACTTGGACTCCATGCCAGTTTGAGCTATCTGGCCAAACCTCTGGTTATACAATTTACTATCCAGATATTATGAAATTTTGCCAGAAAATTATCGGAAGCGATTTTGGCTTGATAATCCAAATATCTGGTTAAGTGGAATCCGCTTAAGCGAGCTCATACAAAATATCCTTACTCCATCAACCTAGCAGCATAAATGTATATGTCAGATTGTCCATTTTCAAAATTCCAACACGTGATTTTTTATATTCATGCCACTCCAGTGTGTCTCATTCTACATATGTCATTCTAACCACACTGTATTCATCCTAACCAGGGATTTCATTATTGAGAGCATTAATTAGAGACCTTTGTGATGCTAAGTAGCATTTGAAAGGTCAGTAAATATTTTGGGATGAACCCTCTGGAGGTGATTCTGACCCATCAAGGAAGTCTTAAAATATCTCTGTTGCACCAACACAAAATCTGACATTTCCAAACTGTTCCTGATCCTTTTGGTTTCTTGAGGGACCAATAGGATCATATTTTGGGAGAAACTGAGAGCTGCAGCTTTAGAAAACTCCATGCAACATCCTGCAAAATGGCACCATGCACAGTTATATCACTCTTTCTAATAAGCTATGTCATATGTCATGACTCTCCAATACACGGAACAAATATTTGGGCATATCCAACAGTTTTAAGACCTCCACCTGTGACCACAATATGAAAAAGAGGTCTGGTCGACAAGATGTGATCGCATAGTATCCTAAGTCTGCCCTGAATACAAGAATGGGTTATTTTATCTCTAGGTTATCTTGAGATGATTTCGAGGCTTAGCATCCCTGCGGCCCGGTCCTCGACCAGCCCTCCTTTTTGTTATGAGTATATTCCCAGGAAGCGGCCCGTAGCAGCTGACTAACTCCCAGGTACTACTATTTACTGCTAGGTTACAGGGGCATTAGGGTGAAAGAAACTCTGCCTAATTTTTCTGCCTCCACCAGGGATCGAACCCGGAACCTCAGGACTACAAATCCGAAGCGCTATCCACTCAGCTGTCAGGACCCTGACAGTGGGTTATCTTGAGATGATTTCGGGGCTTAGCGTCCCCGCGGCCAGGTCCTCGACCAGGCCTCCTTTTTGTTACACCTTTCCCCTCCCAGGAAGCAGCCCGTAGCATCTGTCTAACTCCCAGGTACCTATTTACTGCTAGGTAACAGGAGCATCAGGGGTGAAAGAAATATTTTGCCCATTTATCTCCACCTCCACCGGGGATCGAACCCGGAACCTCAGGACTACGAATCCGAAGCGCTGTCCACTCAGCTGTCAGGCACTGGGTGAGAACAGTCCACACTTAAAATAAATTTTATAAAATTAATACAGTTACAAACCTTAACAAGAAACTGGGATAAACAAAATACATTCACCAGTCTCTTTTTTTTTCCATTTCCATGGAATGGGAAGAAGGCAATCCCCAGAAAAAAGGAAATTATACAATAAAAAGCAGGTTACAGAAAATAAAGAAAAGGAGGAAAAGCTAAGCCGATTGCACCACATTATAATGCACGTTGGGATCATAATAAATATAATAATTCTAAATAAAAAATATTGTACTGCATATTATTACCTGAACCTCTCAACTGTTGCTTTTTGCTGATTGCCAGTAAAATTGCGAAATACTGTTTGACCCCCATACAAAAAGACATCACTGTCTTGGGTAATGACGCCTTTAACCATCTGTGGAAATCCAAGCAAACTACATAAGTTACTGCACCATCGGAATGTTTCTTGATAACACGAGTGTTAAGAAATTATCCCAATGAATATAAAGTAGTATGAATCATTCAAGTTATATTTTAAAGAAACATACATACAGGTTGAGACACAAGTCACTATAATTACATAAACTATTTAATACATCCACAATATTTTCACATTCTGTTATTCCAAAGTGAAACAGAATATCATGAGACGACTCTTCCATCACTGGTTCAGTTCCCTTACCTAAATTCAATAGATTTTTTTTATAGGCGAGTACAGTAGTAGAGAAAGATTCTATGTTTGCTCACTAACTATTTACTCTGCAATACTTTTTTTTATCATTTTACCGAGGTATTTGCAACCATCGCTGATAATGGTTATGCAATACGTTTGTAGCTCTTACAGTCTCTTCAAGAATCCTTGAATCTCCAAACTTCAAATTCTTGAAGTTTATTGTTCCATGAACTTATCCATCACATGAAAAATCCTTACAGTACGAATTTCAGACTGTAGTTGGTTTACCGTTGTAACTTGAGACTAAATCATACTGTGAAACAAACCTGGTGGTAGCTGAGAGCCGCACACGTTGCCTCTGCTTCACCACCTGCCTGCACCCACGGTATGCCCAGAAGATCAAGGAGCTCACCACACTGCAAGAAAATGCCTGCTAGACATCACTGGTAAAGATGATGTTTCTTTGACTACAGATATTTTTACAAAGATTTCATATACCTGTACTACACAGTATTTCTTTGAATATATGGAATTTTCATATTAATTAAATTTAGATATTTATATCAGTTCCTTAAATTTTAATAAAAAGTTACCCATTATTTTTACATTTTCCTTTTTTGCAAAATTTAATATGGTTGCAGCCTGTCCTAAGGTTCCCAACATCGACAAAGTCATACTAAAGTCCCCTATACTAACCTACCAGAGGACCCAGAACCGAAAACTGGACAATATAGTGCATGTCAATTTTGCGAGCTGCTATCATTTTCTAGTATGATGATTTTTTACCTTAGGTAAAATATGCGTCAAAATATGACACTCAATTAGAAGGATGGGTTGATGGTTGACCATACTGTTAACTAAAAGGCTTGATGGGTCTTTATTAAATCAAAATTACAATATTCATCATATTTAGTATTAAATATAAGCAAACCATTATTTATTTATCATGTTTAAATAAGCAATTATCATGTGGCTTAAGAAAACAAATATTATGACAAATGCCAAATACAGTATTTGGATATCTGTAATATTCACAAATCCAGATCATTTTCAGAAAACTGTATGATCCCAATTTTAGAGGTGCCTCTATATAATTCTACACTACACTACACTACATCAAACTTGTACAACATCAGACACTGCAAGATGCAACACACCTCCTTTAGCATCGACTTAAACCGGGATCTTTGTCCTGTCTTCACGGAGACCTTCTTGGAAGCGCCTTTATGATGAAAGTTTCTCTGGTTACGGGATGTGATAGTATTCCACTTTAGGCTTGGTGCAACCCCTTCCAATACAAAGACTGGCAACACTCCAGCATTCAAGAGAGCCAGTGTACGAAAAAATAAGTTCCTGCAAAGCAATTGCACAAAATAAATAAATAAATATATATATATATATATATATGTCGTACCTAGTAGCCAGAACTCACTTTTTGGCCTACTATTCAAGGCCCGATTTGCCTAATAAGCCAAGTTTTCCTGAATTAATATATTTTTTCTAATTTTTTTCTTATGAAATGATAAAGCTACCCATTTCATTATGTATGAGGTCAATTTTTTTTTATTGTAGTTAAAATTAACGTAGATATATGACCGAACCTAACCAACCCTACCTAACCTAACCTAACCTATCTTCAGAGGTTAGGTTGGGTTAGGTTGCCAAAAAAGGTAGGTTAGGTTAGGTTAGGTAGGTTAGGTAGTCTAAAAAACATTAATTCATGAAAACTTGGCTTATTAGGCAAATCGGGCCTTGCATAGTAGGCTGAGAAGTGCGTTCTGGCTATTAGGTACGACATATATATATATATATATATATATATATATATATATATATATATATATATATATATATATATATATATATATATATATATATATAAAACAAATAAAAATTCCTATCACTAATATCTTATTGTGTGCCAGAAATACTTATAGTGAACACTTTAACACAAAATTTGCAATACCCGAGCTATTCTTTTACCACCCTTAGGTTAATTAGGATAGGCATAGTACAGGGAACCCAAGTACTGTATGAACTTGATTATCCGAATTCCGCTAAACCAGACGTTGGGGTCATCTGGACAAAATCGCATCTGGAATATTTTATGTCCATATCCGGATAAATGCCCATAGAATCCGGAATACCGGAGGTTTGTCTGGATACAAATAGACAGGCAGAGAGTTTACTGTATATTCCGGCATATAAGTTAACATTTAAAGCATAAAAGAAAAATCTCCAAAATCAGAGGTTCGACTTGCCGCCGAATATAAAATGTGAACCTTTACCACTGAGAGATAAACACGTGAAATGCCCGGCCTAACACTAGTTGTACACCACTTGCCATCATTCTCACAGCTCATCACAATTAGTTATAAAATTTCCTTTGTGAAATTATTTAAATTTCTCAGCAAACTGGTGATGGAAGGAGGGAGACAGGCAGCAAAGAAGGGAGAGAGAGGACACAGACTGTGCAGCCTGATAGTCTATCTTACGGAAAGAGCTGGGAAAGGGGAGGATGGGGGCATGGCATGGGTAGAGAGGGTGAGGATTGGGTGATGACGAGGGTTGGGTGGGCGTTGGGTGGTGGGAGGGCAAAGGTAGGGTACTCACCTAGTTGTACTCACCTAGTTGTGCTTGCGGGGGTTGAGCTCTGGCTCTTTTGCCCCACCTCTCAACTCTCAATCAACTAAATTTAAAGCATAAATTTAATGGGTGGGGGTGCATGAAGGTATGGGGAGGGAGTGTTTGTCACCGGATGTTGGGCTTATCGGATGTGGAGTCCTTCTCATATAGTCCAGATAATCAAGCTCATTCCATACTGTACATTAATAGAAAATAAAACCGAGGGGTGGACTGTTTTGCGATTTGGTGTGATTACTTAACAAAATATTTGAACAGGCTTTATAATATAATACAGTACATGGCATTGTAAAAAAAAAAATGAGAAATACTGTACAAAGCTATTTATTCAATTATAATACATTGCACATATGCTCTGCCTGAGTACGTAACCAAGGGATGGTGGCCTCTAATGTACAATACTTTAATAAAACAAGTGACTTTTCCATACTGAACATTTTGTTTATTTTACTTTCATAATGTAGATTTTACATAAAGAACATATTTTTTATGTTATACTGTGCTCCATTATTATTGAAGAAAGTTTTTTTTTTATGTTGGTAAGGCAGAACACGGAAAAAGGAGGAACAAAGTACAGTAATATACAGATGTGATCTCATTGCATAGTGTAGGCAAATGTTTCCGCAATATTCTACTCAAATTCTATAACACACAGAAGCCGATCTTTTTTAAGGATCTGTTGTAGTTTATGCCAAGGGCTACAAAATGCTATCTGGCTTAAATTCACTGATCTAAAACTGTAACTTGCAGAGACCAAACAATGATTTGAGCACAAACTATTGCATTCCTTAACAATTTTTTTTTTAATAATTTGTTACACTATTATTAGATAATGATACATTATATGATATGGTACAGTACATGATGTACCAGTGTTGGAGACTGGAAGCTTGTTAAGCTTATCAAGGTCCCTCTAATCATGGGGCAAGAATGTCCTTACTGTCACCAATTCAGTTACTGGCATGAGTGGAAACTTGTTGCATTTCTTGTGTGGGATAACATTTCCCAAGGTGAATCAAATCAAATGTTTATTTAGGTAAGGTACATACATACAAGAGATTTTACAAAGAGTCATGGATTTATAGATAGGGCTAGTACATACAATACCTAAAGCCACTATTACGCAAAGCGTTTCGGGCATGTAAATTTTGTGAATTTGTTACAAAGTGAATTTGTTACACTTCCTATCTGACTCAACATGAAGAGAGAACTGACCTGAGATGTGGGCGTGTTACATTTCCCAAGTGCAGCGACTGCGAGTCTACTACCCAACAGGAAAGATCCACAGCCACGGCCTGACCTTCTAAAGCAGACAGCGACAGAAGTTCCCCAGTTGGTGACACAAGACTCCATAACTCTTTTACACCCATAGGGCTTTCTGTCCCCTAATCTGAAATGTTAATAGTACAGTACCTATTTTCACTTCAGATTTAAAAATTAACAAATTTAAAAATAAGTGTGGGATTGGGCTGACTAGAGCTATTCTTGAGTTGGTTAACTAGAGTGAGTTAACTTGACGTAGAGACTGAAATAATAACTATTCTGGTGGTTTCTTCTTCTTCGTCGTCGTCGTCTTTGTGTGACGTGCAGTTAGCGTGTTTCCTCCGGGGCTATTTGGACAGTTTAAATCTCCAGTCGTCGTCGTTTAAATGGCCAGTGTTTACAAGTCCCGGGGAGGTGCACTACGAGCCTCTCTAATTCACAAGAAAATACATTCAAATCAAATCAAATCAAATGTTTATTCGGGTAAAAGTATATACATAGAGGATTAATTACAAACATAATGTTGGATTTATAGATAAAGCTAGTACATACAATACCTAAAGCCACTAGTACGCATAGCGTTTCGGGCAACTGGGCAACATTAGATATTATATAACAAATTTCGAATGTAGTACATTCAATATATTCACATTAGTTCATAATATAGCTACAATTTAATTAATATGAGTAAAGTGGTCAGCTAATACCCCGATGTATATATATGTATAATGTACATTAGTAGGAAAAGAAGGTAGTGATTCAATTGTCTCTCCGGTGCAAACTGATGCAAAAATGTATAGGAGACATTACTGTATCCGAGCGTGGAGATTACATCTTCAGAAGGACATAGCTACATTAGAGAAAGTGTAACACCGTTAGTTAGTTTAGTTCATTTATTATGCACCCCATACCCATCTTGTGGGCGGTAGTGGAAAGGGTTACAGAGGCACATAATGGGCTCAGGGACTGAACCCCACAATTCATTTAGCTAAGCAAGTTACAGTCTTGATGAACTAGTTACAAAATTCAGTGCACATCGTCACATCAACATTGGGCCAGAGACCGACCACAATTACTGTTTCTAAATTAAGCAACTGACATATGTTGCTTAAGTCACTGCACATCCTCTCAAGTGTTTATGTATTTAAAACTCTGAACTGTAATGCCAATCCTGACTTTAAACGCTCCCTAGAAGGTAGTAACAGAACTCATGAGCATCACACCAAAAATAAATACCTATTTGATATTCCAAAAGTGCGCCTTAACCAAACTAGAAATGCTCTACAAAACAAGGGACTCAGCAGAATGGGGAGTGACCTTCCCAATCATGTCAAAGGCTGTACCTCTCTCAACCAGTTTAAGAGAAAAACTAAGAACTACCTAATAAAGTCCATGTAACCTAACTTACCTCGTAAATGTCAACCTGTAACTTGCTATTTTCAAATAATGTTGATTATTGACCAACTTGTTTAACTGCTGTTATCTGCCATGTATAAACTTGAAGAAAATTGTAGTCTTCTGTTTATTTAGTTAAAATTACTTCTGCTATTCTGCTGCAATTTCTGCTGTTCCACCCATCATGTAATTATCAGTTTTGTATCTTTTTTCCCCCTATTTCAATTCTATTTATGCTTTGATCTCATTTAGTTTTAAGTTTTAGTTTTAGTCTAAGTGTTTTTCCCGTCTTTTTTCCAATAAATAGCAACATCCACAATTTTTGCCCGAAACGCTGTGCATATTAGTGACTTTAGGCATAATATGTTCTAGCTCTATCTAGCAATCCAACAATCTGTAACTCATATCTTGTATGTATGTACAAGAATAAACATTTATTATTATTATTATTTATGTGGAGAGCCAGTGTCACAATAAACATATCCTTTACATCCAATAGGCAGCGGTGGATTTACCTGAATTTACCAGAGAGCCACTAATACTAGTGGCCTCGACGAGGACAGGAAGCTAGCGGCTTGTCAAAGGTCCCCACATTTGCCTGGATGATCTTTTCTATCTGTATTTTAAAACCCAGCAAATTTTTGTTATGTATGTCGTACCTAATATCCAGAACAAAAATGTTCCAAACACAAAACATTTTAACCCGCTACGTTCTCGGTTAATACACCCATTTCGCTGAATGGTTATCGTACATGGAATGGAAATTAGATTCTGCTAGCCTGTACAGAGACGAGTCCACTAGCCTGCACTAGCGCACTTAAGATGCACTAGGAAGCTCTCCCCTAATAGCCGTAAATGAATTAAATAGCTACAAAGCTACGGGTATATCTTTGTCTAAATTCAAGACAGTGTCCTGGTTACCTTTCAAAATTCATCAATATTTGTATCACTCCTTGTATGTATGTACTTTACCTAAATAAATATTTGAATTTGAATTTGAATTCATAAAGTTTAGGCTTGGACTCTCAGCTCAGTGTCGGAAGTCTCGTCACCTACTGTAGTCACCTGTCTACTGTAGTCACCTGTCTACTGTAGTCACGTGTCTACTGTAGTCACCTGTCTACTGTAGTCACGTGTCTACTGTAGTCACCTGTCTACTGTAGTCACCTGTCTACTGTAGTCACCTGTCTACTGTAGTCACGTGTCTACTGTAGTCACCTGTCTACTGTAGTCACCTGTCTACTGTAGTCACGTGTCTACTGTAGTCACCTGTCTACTGTAGTCACCTGTCTACTGTAGTCACCTGTCTACTGTAGTCATCTATCATAAATAACAATATTCCAAGTTAATTATTTCAATTGCTGAGACACAGGTGTACGCCTTGTGCTATGCTAGACAAATCATAGCTCTTAATTATAATGCTTTTTGGCCATTAAGTCTGACTTGTCTTCTATGAAATCCAGTTTTCTGTAGTTTTATAATTCATTGCGTCGGAGTACAGGAAGCCTGAGTGTATTCATACACGTTAGGTTTATATCCAGGTACCTGAGTACCTACTTACTGCTAGGTGAACAGGTGCATTAGGTGATAGGAAATGCGCCCAACCATTTCTATCCCTCCCGGGATTCGAACCCTGAATTCTCGGTACAGAGGACCGGTAACCTTTAGTAGTGTGGATTTACCGGGACACTTAGTAGTAGTGTGGATTTAATATTAGAAACTGGGATACTTAGTCCTATAGTTCAGTTTAATGATTGTTACATGCTGCCTTAGCTTTCAGTATATACAATGGCTATGTAATAATACACAGAACAATACAAATAGAAGGGAAAAACATCAATTAGGATTATATATATAATATGAAGAGTAAAAACTTAATTTTTAAATCATCGACAATGTAATATGTAGAGACATAGTATATTTTCCAAGATGAAGAGAATATGTGCTCTTCCGTTAAATAAAACCTGTGCCTTCAGTGTAAGTGTGAACACTTAATTATGTACACTCTCTGTCCACAAATCATAGACCTGCTTTTTGTTAACGTTGTAAACAATGCCGAAGCAGGATTTTGTCAGTAAATGTAAAAATACTGCCAAAATTTTTGCAATTTGATCAAGTCCCAATATAATTGACCCACTCACAAACAAATGTCACAACTAACTGGCACACACACACACACACAGACAGACTTTCAACAACAAACTGTCAGATTTTCAAGCACAGCCAAGTTGGGACATAGCTCTCCGTAGCCTCATATAATCCTAGCGGCGTTGAGGCACAGAAGGTCATGCTCTGTGGAATAGACTTTGGAGTAGCGATGGCCGAAGTACCTGACCACAAACACCCACACCAGGCAGAGGAAGATGCCGCAGTGGAACAGAGCTCCGGCCACGGTGCGGTAGCCAGCCAGGAGCAGCAGCAACAGTGACACCACCGTCAGTGCCAGGCTCGGCAGTGCCAGGCACACCAGGAAACACGCGTCCCCCGGGGAGTTCGTCATCATCCGTCGCAGAAGAATAACGTAACTCTCCCTCAGGGAAGGAGCGTCGGGGTCCTCGCTGTAGCACTGGCATCTCCGACACCTACTTGCGGAAGAAACAACATTGTATAATTGGTTTGTGATACATTAACCTCTGATCAGGTCTTGCAGGAGGACTAGGCTCTTATCTTTTCAAGGGAGGCAAACCGACTGCGGGTTAGTTAAAGTGTTCCCTTAACCAAGAAAACCTATATATATATATTTAATAATAATATGAAGTGCATAATGCAATAATATGAAGTGCAGAATGCAATTGAAAAACGTTATTCCTTCTCTCCCCTCGAAAATTACTCCAAGGTATGCTGTTGACAAATTAATGGCACATTGGTACCAACAGAACGAGAAAATTTACATGAATAATTATTGACATTCGAGCTGGTTATAGCGATATGCATGCAATTCTATAATCCATATATAGTAGTTAGTTAGTCAATGTAGTATGTAATGTATAACATTAGTATAATGCTAATGTTAGTAGTAGTTAATGCTTTCTTTTCATAATAACTTATATGACTATACAATTAACAATTAAATGTCTAAATGATTAACTGGTATCCTAATTAACAGTTCGAAGACTAGGCTTAATTACACTAGAATTACAGAGAGTAATTCTCGTATATAACAAATGTGATACTGCTCAAAATAATACTAAAACAATAAACTCCACAACTGTGTAACTAATAAGAACCAAGCAAGACAGACAAGACGGTATTACACAAACACTCTTCAGGAAATGTAGATGTTTATCTCTCAGAATGTTTGGTAATATGTTTATTGTTTGTGATGTGTGTATATATGTATGTATTAACACGATGCACTGAACGGGGTGAGAATAGCTTGAGCTACCTCATCCCTTTGTGTGTATTTTACCTCAATAAACTTATTTCAATTTCAATTTCAACACACTTCGTACTGTTATCTGACCTGTTGGGAAGTTTGATGTTGACGTGGTTCTCGTCAAAGGTGACCTGACCTCTGCCCGAAGACTCCCCCATCACTGAAGACTCAGGTCCTGCAGAGTCCAGAGTTTAGGAATAATCAACGTACACACCTAAGATTATTCCAACATTCACACGCGTTTCTTCGTCATAAACAAGACAATTTCTGCTGTTATTGTGAGTATTAAATACTGTATCTGTAGTGTTACTATACTGTAGTTGTCAGTAAAGTAACTGACTATACAATAAAGTAGTCTATGCCTTTCATTGTTGAGTATCATTAACAAAAAAGTGAATATCGTTTGCTAAATTTCGAAACAATTTATGTATTAGCTTACTAAGAACGGGAACTATTAGGAGTGAGCGCCAAGCCATTACGGCTAGACGGGGTAGCTTACTAAGAGAAAATTCTCCCAATAAATGTATAACTAAATTCCTTTATTATTTTAAGTTATGGCCATAACACTGTGCGTAATTGACGGTTTTATATAATATAAAATTATTGCACCCACTAAGTAACCACTGTAACATGTTCCTTTGAATATCATATACATAAATTATTATTATCAGACCGCTACCAGGAATTACTCGTCGAGATAAAGGCCTCAGGCGATAACGGCCTCCCTCAGCAAGTATTCCAAAGTTAATCTTATCGGGCCATGTGTTCTCGTGAACAGTTCTTGGCCGGGGAGAACACTACAACAAATCACGCCACTTCAGGCTATCATAAGGAGTCGCATTATCTCTTACACGAGAAGGTTTCGCTCAAACGTATCAAATAGTTCGCCTGCCAGAAACGCTTTGCGTAATAGTGGCTTTAGGCATTGTATGTACTAGCTCTATCTATAAATCTATCAATTTTTGTAAAATCTCTTGTATGTATGTACCTTACCTGAATAAACATTTATTTATTTTATAGTTAACAATGTTTATTCACTAAACTTAACACTAATACATTTGGGAGTTTCTTTACGGTTTGGGACGAGCAAAGCTCATCACAACCGAGGGTCATACGGGAGTTCCACTTGAACGATTTAATGGATCCCCCAAGCAACAGCCTCACTTAACACTGTAATAACCCAATTAATCAATACGGATTCCTAATCACCGCCGTAATTGCGAGGGACACACGGAGCGCTAAACCTGGATACTCAGGGTTGTACCCGTAGCATGTGAAATCCATTAATACACACAATGATGTCAATCGGACTTCTAAACAGAAGAATTAACTTTATATATGTGAGATGTATGTCATTACTTCCTAACGGCCGTCGCTGTCCATGCGACGCAGGGAAGAGGCTTCCCTGCGCTGACTGGAGTCTCCAGTCAGCCATCCATTCGTTTTCAAATCAAATCAAATATTTATTCAGGTAAAGTACATACATACAAGGTGAGATACAACACGTTGATGGATTTATAGATAGAGCTAGTACATACAATGCCTAAAGCCACTATTACGCGAAGCGTTTCGGGCAGGAAAAACACTAAGACTAAAGTGTTTTTTATCCGCTCGTCTCGCACTTCATAACCCGTTTCATGTGTTCCGCAGGCCGGGTGAGTACTTCCGGGTGATCTACTAGGGATTTCCTCGCGAGACAATAAACATGGAATCACGAAGGTTAAACAAATAGAGTATTGTGCTTTGTATATCGGTTCCTTCATTCTCATCCGTCCATCAGCTATCGCCTGTCACAACCCGCGCGCGGTAGAACAGTCGGGTTTGTTCTCGACTCACAGTCCAGAATTCCGGGTTCGAGTCCCGGGCGGGATAGAAAAGGCTGAGTGCGTTTCCTGTCACCACCATTTGGTCACCATTTGGTCCGGGAGACATCTCCCGTCACGCAGGGTGCAGTCGCGCCTCCACAGATCTCCAGTATCAGCTCTTGATACTGGTAATGGCTCAAAAGGGCCACCACTTACGGGCTATTCATGCCCGTGCCACCTTTTGGGTGGCTTAATCTTCATCATCCTGTCACCCCAGGAATTAGTCAGCTTACTGTGTGGTTGATTCCTGGGAAGGGTCACTAACTCGACCCTGGGGAGAATGCTGGATATAAGCTTAACATGTATTGATAAACTGGCTGTCTGTCCCCCCGATACAATAAATTATTGATTATTTAATTATGTCATGGTATACCATACCACTTGGTATACCATGACTTACCATGTCGTGGCACAGTTGACTAAGGCTCATCTGGGAAACATCCCGTGCGTAGGTTCGAACCCTCATCACGGCTTTGTGGATTTGCTCATTAAAGCTTCCCCTTTGGAAGTTGTAAGTTGGCTTCGTTTTCTATTGGAAATCATTCATAATATAATCTACGTGTTTTATGAGATTATTGACTTAGTTTAAACAGCAGGAAATTTCTGTTAATTTTCCCGACATCAATGCATAATAATGTACATTTATATATGAAAAATATATTTTGTGCATTTTCTTCAAACTATTTTTGTCTGTGTAGTGGCCGGCAGTGCTAAAAGTCGTCGTGGGGGTCCGAGTGTGCCCCTGTCACGCTGCTAACTGTTGAATTATGGCGACCCTCAACGAGCCTATGTTCATCTCGTACCTCAGACCATTCCCTCTGCCAATTCGGGGGAATTGGGCCTCCAACCCCCAACTTTGAAGCATGACCTCTAACTTTGAACAGACAGACAAGCAGACACTCTATGCTAGGTATAGATATAAAAACATCATATATACCATACAGCTTGGCGCAGGACCTTGGAACCCACCGCGCATTCTGACAGTGTTGTTGTTCTAGATTCACCTACTCAGAGCAATAAGTTCCAGTAGCACGGGCTATGGTGAGCCCGTAAACTCTGACAGGGTTTACGTTGTGTAACTAGCTTGTTGAGGTCCTCACTAGGCCAGCGCCTGACCTTCCCGCGATGCAACCCACAACAGTCGCTTAACTCCCGGATACTTATTTACTGCCAGGTGATCGAAGAATCAGGTTTTCGGAAACGTGCTCTACCCGGGAATCGAACCTGGGTTCAGCTCGTTGAACACACACGAAGCAAAACTCGTTTGCATAGAACACTTTCACAAACACCGATGTTTGTTGAGTGCGTAGCTCACGCACTCAGAGGAGAGTGTGTGGACGGGTAGAGTGCTTGGTGAATGTTGACAGTACAAGAAAAAGGACTCACTGTTTGTGTTCCTCGGTAGCAAGGGACGGCGGGGTGCGGCGGAGTGTGTGCGGAGTGTGTGTAGAGTGTGTGTAGAGTGCGCCCACCATAGCGACACCGCCTCACGGTGAACAAGTGTTGGGGTGAACACCTGGGGTTTGGTTGACACCTGTGTATGCCTCACTCTCACCCCGTGGTCTCTCGTTACTGGCTGCTTCCTGGGGATGTGTGTGTGTGTGTGTGTGAAAAATATAATCCGTTGATTGATTGACAGTTAAGAGGCGGGCCGAAAGAGCCAGAGCTAAACCCCTGCAAGCACAACTAGGTGAAAACACACACACACACACACACACACACACACACACACACACACACACACACACACACACACACACACACACACACACACACGAGAGAGAGAATGAACAGAAGAAAGTGAGCTTCAAGGCAATGTATACTAACGTAGATGGGATTACAAATAAAACAAGTGAACTTGGAGAATGGGCACTAGAAGAAAACCCCAGACATAATAGCACTCACAGAAACAAAGCTAACGAAAACCATAACAAATTAAGTGTTTCTGCCAGATTACTATGTAGAGAGGAAGGAGAGAGAAGGAAGAGGAGGTGGTGGTGGTGTAGCTCTGCTGATAAGAAAAGGTTGGAGTTTTGAGGAGATGGTTATTCAGGGCTGTGAAGGTTTCAGTGACTACATAGCAGGTACCATAGCAATTGCAGGACAAAACTTATAATAGTAGTCATATATAACCCCCACCAAATGACAGAAGACCCAGACAGGAATATGATAGAAACAACATAGCCACCATTAACATAATAGAGAGAGCAGCTTCTGTAGCTAGCAGGAACGGATCCAGACTACTAATCATGAGAGACTTCAACCACGGGAAGATAGATTGGGAGAACAGAGAACCACATGAAGGACCAGACACATGGAGAGCTAAGCTGCTGGACGTGGCAACAAGAAACTTTCTAAGCCAACACATCAATGGACCGATAAGAATGAGAGGAGAAGGCGAACCAGCCATGCTTGATCTGATATTCACCCTATATTCACACTATAAGCAAGTGCGAGAACGGAAATTACAATTATTACTTAACCTATACCGTTGATAGGTTAAGTAATAATTGTAAATAAGAAGCAATAAGATGCTTATCTTAACATACTAAGAAGGTTAGGCGAGGTTGGTGTTTTCTATGAAGCTTTTCAAGGTAAACTAAAATATTCACAATCAATTAGTATGTCACATATGCACTTATTAAAAAAGCCAATATTGACTATAAGCAAGTGCGAGAACGGGTTGCAACCCTGAATGAGTCGGATATAAGGGAAGTTAAGTTGCAAACCCCCTTGGGAATGAGTGATCACAGTGTACTGATATTTGCGTACCTGGTACAGCTAGGAACAATCTCCTCCAAAGCAGAACTAGAAAAGAAGGGGCTGGCGTATCGAAAGGGAAATTATGAGATGAGAAAATCCATATCTCGTCAAGCATAAGGCTAAACTGGAGAAGGTTCAGAGTTTTGCCACCAGACTAGTGCCTGAACTGAGGGGCATGAGCTCTGAGGAGCGACTACGGGAATTAAACCTCACGTCGCTGGAAAACAGAAGAGTTAAGAGGGACATGATCACCACATACAAGATTCTCGTAGGAATTAATAGGGTAGACAAAGACAGTTTATTTAACATAGGGGCACACGCACTAGGGGCACAGGTGGGAATTGAATGGCCAAATGAGCCATAGAGACATTAGAAAGAATTATTTTAGTGTCAGAGTAGTTAATAAATGAAATGCATTAGGAAGTGATGTGGTGGAGGCTGACTCCATACACAGTTTCAAGTGTAGATATGATAGAGCCCAACTGGCTCAGAAACCTGTACGCCAGTTGATTGACAGTTGAGAGACGAGACCAAGGAGCCTAAGCTCAACCTCCGTAAGCACAACTAGGTCAATACAGTTTGTGCTCTTAACGAGGAATCCGTTGATTACCATAGAGGGTTGCCTAGGATGGAAATCGAAGTTCAGCGGTAATCGATGCAGTTCAGCGGTATTTTGCTGCCTGAGTGCAGCAATATACCGAGAACACAATTTAGTGGACCTGAGGCAGAGTGAAATTCACACTCGTTATTCAATTTAATAATCACGGAGAAAGAGCCACATATCTCTGGGTCATCTATCAGCATACTCTGAGTCTAGACGTTACGATTTATAGGCTAGAAGTACTTGTAGCCTAGCCTAAAAAAAGTCTATACCAGCTGCTGAAGTAGATCTGACCAAATGTATACTCTCTGTCAGCAGAACTATTCACAAACCTGTGTCACTGTGAAATTGAATGTGAAAAATTC